AAATTGTATTTAATTTGTAGAGTAGTGAGGACTAAGTCTGACCATACTAAGTTTTAGCCTATTAGAGAAATGGACATTTCAAACACTCCCACAAGGGCACAATGCAGAGTAATTAGACACTATCGAATAAAGTTGGAAATCCACCTGCCTTCAGACCCAACAATTCCACTGCTATACGTGTGTGTGTGTGTGTGTGTGTGTGTGTGTGAGTGTACACACACTCACACACATACACACACACACACACACACGGTCAAAAGTACATATACCTTAATATACACACAAGGAGATATATTTTGTTTACTACAGTGCTGTTATAAAACCCAACTGACAACTAGGCAAAGAAACAAACATACCACTGGTAAATGAGCACCTAAAATAAATTAAACCATTTATCTTATTAACATAGATATTAGAAACATAATCTTGAGTCTAAAAACCAAGTTGCAAGCTGTTACATGCAGTAATACAATTTATCTACATTTTAAAGCAACAAAATACCACTATCTAGTATGTATGAATACATACATATATATAAAACATGGCTTAGACAAACATCAAATTTATGATAAGGTGACCTCTGGGGAAAGAAGAAAATGGGACTGACAAAAAAAAAAAAAAAAAAAAAAAAAAAAAAAAAATATATATATATATATATATATATATATATATATATATATATATAACTCTAACTTCAATATTTGATTTTTTCCAAAATAGAAGATCTGAGGCTAGAATAGGGGAGGTTAATATGCATTAGATCTGAGAGCCAAGTGTAGCTCTTGAATTTTTCTGTATTAAAAAAAGTGTTAAATATTATATACACTGACTTCTGGAATGAAATATTTCCACAGTGAACAGAAAAGGACTGATTACAGTACAGACTCTGCGTTGCAACAGAGGGGCTGCCGTTCTGGGTGTGTAACCTGGGCGGCCCCCCCAGCCAGGACAACCTCAGAGTGGACACTGCAAACCTAACGGGCGTCGTTTGTGTTGAGGACACAGAAAGGTCTACGGCATGAATCACATTCAGCAGAAGAGCTTACCTATGAGCCAAATACCAAAGGTTATGACAGAGTATCTTTTAGGAAACAAAGCTACTATTTTGCAAAACCCTCAGAAACAACAACTAAACAACTGCCTTTGGTCTCTGATTCATGCCCATTTCTTTTCCTCTTCTTTATATCTTTTTTTTCCCACCTCACCTGTTTCCTTCCATCAAAGTAATGGCTATTCTGAGGGCAGAGCTAATAGGCCCTCTGAAGGCTGAGAAACAGCTCATTCTACCTTCGCTTCCCACACATTATGGGGTGTAATATCTTAATAGCAGCATCTATCAAAGAGCCTTGGAGAATTATGGCTTGTCCATTAGAAATCTCTCTAGCACTAATACGCCAAGAATAAAGGGAGAACTAAGTTCTAGATGTGCAGGAGCTTCAGGTATGTAGGGATAGTGTAGTGTGGTACTCATCTCAGCAAACCAGCTGCTGCAAGCTAAAAATGAGCTCTCCAGAATGCCCACAATTTCACTATCTCCTATTATGGACGGATGCAGAATGCCTGCCAATCTCCTTCTGTGTTTGTCTGTTTATTTTGATAAAATGGGTCATAATTTGCCCCGCTGGTGTGGCCCAGTGGTGAGTGTCAACCTATGAACCAGGAGGTCATGCATGGTTGAGTCCCAATCTGGACACATGACCAGGGTTCAGCCTTGATCCCCAGTAGGGGGCGTGCAGGAGGCAGCTGGTTAATGATTCTGTCATTGATGTTTCTATTGCTCTCTCCCTCTCCCTTCCTCTCTGAAATCAATAAAATTATATTTAAATAAATGGGTCATAACTTATATTTAAATCTCTTTTAAGGGCTGTAGTAGTGAAAAATTTTATACACACTTACATATGTGAACTGACTGTTTTGTCATACTATATTACAAAGGATCAAAAAAAGTTGGAAGGAGACTGTGCCATTATTTCAGATACATAATTGAAAGAATTATGGTTGGTTGAAAAATGACATTCTGGGGATTACTTGCATATATACATTTCAACATATTTTCTGAATAAAATGAAGACTGTCTGGGCCTTTTGTCTATTTCAGAAATGCTCCTTAATTTCTTCTCTTACTCTTTTAGCAAAACCTGCTCTTTTAGGTGTCTATCTTTTAAAAATATAAATATTTTTATTGATTTTTGAGAAAGGAAGGGAGAGGGAGAGATAGAAACATCAATGATGAGAGAGATTCATTGGTTAGCTGCTTCCTGACCAACCAACCCCTACTGAGGATCAAGCCCACAACTCGGGCATGTGCCCTGACCGGAAATTGAACTGTGACATCCTGGTTCATAGATGGATGTTCAACCACTGAGCCACGCTAGCCAGGGTAGGTGTCTATCTTTAAGGGTCTTTGATGAACCCCAAACCAAAATCCTTTCACCATTTCTAAGTCTATTTTCATTAGTCTATCCACTGATTAGGCAAAGTCAGGAAGCACAGCAGCCTCAGGGAAGAGAGCACGGGTCTAGAATCAGATCGCCAGGGGTCAGAACCGGGCTCTGCCACTTCAGGTTATGGCAATCTACTTAATCTGTCTTGCACCTCTGTTTCTATCTGGTTAAAATGGGCATTATAATAGTATTTCTCTCAGAGTCATAGTAAATGAAATGCAGCATCTTAAGTTGCAAACAGAACTACATAAACATTAGTCATAATTAATGTCATTGTATTGTCATCTTCATAACTACTAATCCTGCTGCTAGGTGTAGGGAACTCCAAGCATAGACCCTTGTCATTGGAAGGAGACAGGCAGATAAACAAGTAAATATAGAACGGGGATCCCCATTTAAACGAAGAAATGACCAGATGGCTTAGGGTCTGAAGGAGATGTAAAGGCCCCCAGGATTCCCTTGACACCATACCACTCTGTGTGGCTCTGGCAAGGGATTAAGAACACAGATGCCTAAAAAGAACCACACTTGCACGAGGCATCAGAATTCCTGTCTCCTGGGTCCTGAAAACGCCAATCTAACCGCCACAGCCTCTCCCGCAGACCACGGAGGCAGAAGGCCGTTGTGGAGATGTTTCAGCGCCAGCTGGTTCCCAAGGTGTCGCTGACATCTGCATACAAGCTCTCAAGTTAAGGTACCTGAGGCTGCATCAGAGCCAAGCAGGAAAAGGGAAAGGATTCCAGATGCTTTCCACCAGGTGCTGAGCAATGAATGAATGCGCTCGCTCTACCTGGCGAGGGGCACCCATGCAAACGAGGCATCTGTTTCCAGCCCGGTGCCGAGGGCCAGGCCCTGGGGCGCTACCATCTTCTCGCCCTCACTTCTGGTGTCTCCCGGAGAAAGGACATCCATCTTCTGGAAGGAGCGCCTTGTGTACAAGCAGAGCCGGGGGGAATTCTTGCCAAGAGGGCCTTTTGTGCTCTGCTCTCACATTTTTGGCATTTTTTTTTTTAACCCACCAAACCAAGGTGACTCACTCTATTGTTCTAGGTCTGCACTGGGAGCCTTCAGGGAAGGTGGTATTTCAGGCATTCCAAAGCAAAGGAGAAATTATTGCTCCCCGCTGGCCACAACACACGCTTCTTTTACTAATCATTTTTTTTTTTTTTAACTCTCAGAATAAGTTAAGCTTTAATGGAACAGAAAAAAAAAAAAAAAGATCTTCACACATATTATACCAAGAAATTCAGTGTTTTTTTTTTTAAAAAAAAATCAATTTTGGGGGGGGATGGCATTTATTTCTGAGAAACTCAAAATCGCTCTTAGTGTCCTGTATCTTCCCAACGTCACAGGGAAGGTGGGCTTCCAGCTTCCCATCTCCAGGCCCCTCCAACTGCCAACAAACAGATGTTTCTTGCTGAGGGAGAATCTAATCATGGTGTCTGTCCTGATGCGCAAGGCTGAGCGGGACAGATGGCTGACAGTGGGGCCCGCGGCTGGGGAGGGAGGGCTGACTTTCGCCGGCAGCCAAAAGAGGAGAGAGGATGACCCCTCCCGTCAGGGCAGCCACAGGAAAAGAGAAGAACTCCTAGACCCGAATTCACAGAAATAAGAGAAGTGAGCCGTGTGTCCTTGACCCGAGTTATTTCTCACGAAGCTAGAAATTAAGTGCAAGAAATATTTTACCTGGGTTCTGAGCTGTGGGCTTGGCTAGGGAAAAACAACTATTAATTAAAACTATTTCTTGCTCTGGCAGATTTGGTTTAGTGGTTAAAACATTGACCCATTGAGCCGAAACCGGTTTGGCTCAGTGGATAGAGCAACTGGTCTGCGGACTAAAAGGTCCCAGGTTCGATTCCGGTCAGGGGCATGTACATTGGTTGCAGGCGCATCCCCGGTAGGGGGTGTGCAAGAGGCAGCTGATTGATGATTCTCTCTCATCGATGTTTCTAACTCTCTATCCCTCTCTTCTCCTCTCTATAAAAAAATCAATAAAATATATTTGAAAAAAAAACACAAAACATTGACCCATGGACTGAAGGGTTCCGGGTTCGAATCAGTCAAGGGCACATATTCGATTGCAAGCTTGGTCTCCTCGGCACCAACTGATGTGTCTCTCTAACATCAATGTTTTTCTCTCTCTGTCTTCCCCCTCTCCCCCCCACTTCCACTCTCTCTAAAAAATCAATGGGAAAAAATATCCTTGGGTGAAATTGAAGAACAAAACAAAAACTATTTCCTAATGCTTAGTAATTTCTGTAAGAATGAGTCAGCAGCTTTAGTATTGTATATTAAGTTGACATTTAATAAAAGGTATTTCTATTTCTTCCCACTGTAGTTAATTTCTAAGTTAGTGTAAATATATTTGCTTGATTACCAAACCACATGCATATTGTTTTTCTTAGTCAACAGAATGACTACCATGAAAAGGAGTTGAGGATGAGAATGACAGAGTTGAATGCAGCTGAACCAGGTAATTGGTGGTCATTTCCAAAGGCTTGTTGCAAAGGCAAAGCTGTAGTTTAATCCCACGAGAGTCCCGCAGGATACTACTCACCATGTGTGCCTGAAATAACCCAGGGATGAGGGACTGGTTGGAGAGGTTGATGATCCTGGAGGACTCCTGGAGGACGTAAATCTTGCCAAAATCCACCTGGTCGGGATAGACGTAGATAACTGGGCCTTCTCCAATGCTCCTTAACTCGCACGTCTGCGTTCCCAGAGAGAGAACAGCTGAAAACGGCTGGCCTTGAAATTCGATTGAAACAGAAATTTCTAACCACCTCTTCTGTAAAAAGCAGGGGCACCAGAGGGTGCTCAGGAGAACCTCCTTCCTCCCCCCCTGGTACTCTTGGACAGAGGGACACAGGGATGGCCGTGCCGGTCAGACCTTTGAATTCAGTCTGAAATCCCTCCAGGATGGCCTGCTTTCCTGGGTCAGCCTGGAGCTGTGCACCAAGGGGAAACCAGATAACAGTCCTCTATGTGCCACCCAGTATTCAGCTTCAAAAACACTCAGCGTGGGGCTGAGGACTAGCACTTAACAATAGGAAGTGGCCTGGCCGGCGTGGCTCAGTGGTTGAACATCAGTTTATGCCACGGTTCCATTCTGCCTCAGAGCACAAGCCCGGGTTGAGGGCTTGATCCCCAGGGTGGGGCTTGCAGGAGGCAGCCGATCAATGATTCTCTCTCGTCATGGGTGTTTCCATCCCTCTCTCCCTCTCCCTTCCTCTCTGAAATCTATAAAAATATATTTTAAAAAGAAAAAATTAGAAGTGGCTGAACTGAGCCGCGTTCTGCTGCTTGTCTAGCGGCCGTCCGCCGCACACAGCTGCGCATGGGGCTGAGGTCCACCTTGCTCCACGCCCCTCGCCCTGTGTCCTCAGCCAGGAAAGGGGCCTTTTCCTTTCATAAAGTGCAGCTCCTCACACGAGCTGCGTTTTCAATAAAAAAAAATATATTTTTTTTAAAAAAAGAGAATCACTCATTTTAAAAATACATATGTAGGTGTGATCTCCTGGCAGAGATTCCGACTGGATAGGTCTGGAGAGAGAGGGTCAAGCATGTCTCTCTATGAAAAACTCCTTAACGTAGTGTAAGAACAAGTGCTACAAACACCACTCCTTTTGGAGTTACCCGCAAATAGATTCCCAAAGTGCCGTATGGCTAGTTTTTTTTTTTTTTTTTTTTTCCCACTGTGGAGTGAAAATGTAGAATTTTAGAACGACAAACAATGGGAGGATATGCAAAGATGGCATGCGCCTTAAAAGCGGAGGCTTGGAGGTTTTGGCAAGAAGCACAGCGACTGTAACTGCAATCTGAAAACTGTCTCTCACCACAGGGCGGTCCTGGCTCCCGAAGACTGAGACGTAGACCGTGGACCGGTGCTCCCCGGTGACCTGGGCCTCCAGGACCAGGGGGATGTGGACGGTGCTTTGGGGAGGGATGATTCCGAAGGGGCGGGGACTGGAGAGCAGCACCGGGGGCGAGTCCTGGTCCACCTGGTGGGAGAGACAAGCCAGAGAGATAACAAGCCCCCCGGCAGGACATTAGATTATTTTGAAACAAGTGTTGTCCAGCCTCCATAGAGGTTCTTTAGAAATGCCACATTGTTCAAGCGAGTGTGTAGGGGTGGAGTGTGCATAAGGCCCTAAGTTCAAAATGCGCAACCCGGCAGGAGGCGGAGATGGTCCACAGCATGAATCAGCTCAGGGCAGCAGCTGCCCCCGGCCACCTTCCCCACCGGGCCCCCCAACCCCCACACCTTACTCCCTCCACCTTGTCCCTTTGTGTCCCACCAGAGAGGCCACTGGTACTTCCCGGACACATGGCGCTCCCCGACCTCCAGCTCTTCGCACGCGTTTCCTCTTCCTGGAATGCCCGCTCCCTTCGACCTGCCTGCACCCTCACCCTCAATCCCCCAGGGATCCCTAGTGCCCAGCAGTCCTTTTCCACAGCCCACACTGTCGACGTGTCCATCGTCACCATGGGCTGGGCACTTCTTAGGGCACAACCTGAGCCTCTTCTCCATGCCCGCTTTCTGGCCCAAAACATATGCTCAGGACATGTGTTTTTTTTTTAATGGGGAAATAGGTGGGCAAATGGATGGGTGTTGTCCAGTGTCTACAAAATGAACTCTGCCCAGCCTATCACTAGCTCTTTCGATACATTGACAACCACCACTAAGAAAACCTTAAAAACCCCAGGGCCAGGTAAGTTTAGGGAATCTGGGAAGCACTCCTCCGAAGCGCAGCTCCTGGAGAGGACGACAGAGCGTGCGGTTTTACCTGTCCGAGCGCCCCGCGGTCTCTCCTGCCCCGGCTGGTTTAACGTGGCCTGATCTGGCTGCACGTCCCTCTGCAGCTACGTGTGGTCCGGCCCCAGGAAAACTGTCATACGGATTCTGTCTTTATATAAACTCTTTATGTTTTGTTCCTCGTGGACTTTTCATGAATATTGATTTCACAAAATGTGGCGTGAAAACGTTAATCTTGATTATTTTGAACTTTTTGGCTCCACCTTAAATATTGTACTTGAGGCAGGTGCCTTGCCCTTTCCCCAGCCCAGCTGTGCAGGAATACCTTCCCAGTCACCGGGGACGCAGGCTCTGCTCGGACTGCTGAGGTGACCTGCACTGCTTTGGGCTGGCCTGCTGTGCTGTGAAAGCATCTGACAGTTGGAGAAGTTGTCCCCTGTGGCTGCCCCCACTCCCCTTGCCGTCTGGTTTTGTCTCAGAGGAGCCTCCAGAATAACTGCAATCCCCTCTTTTACATACCAGCCCTTTGACTAAGGAAGGGGAGCCATTTTGGCGGGTTAAGTCTTGTCTGTTCCAGATTAAATACTACCTACCCTGTTTTCCCGAAAATAAGACAGTGTCTATAATTAATTTTTTTCTCCCAAAGTTGCGCTAGGTCTTATTTTCAGAGGATGTCTTATTTTTTTCGGGGAAACACGGTACGTATGCTCCTCATGTGACTTGGATTTTCAGATCACTTAGATTACCTGGAAATCGGTTCATTCCCAACCCCCAGGTTTCTATTACAAAAATACAATGTCAAGATCTGAAGACAAATTTCTGCGTTGATGGCGGCCACCTCCTTTCTCAGGCTAAACACGTTTTTCTGATGGGCCTACACCTGTCTTGGTTCTGTGGTCCCCACACTGGCTTTTAACTCATTTTGAACTCGTAGCCAAATAAAATCCACATTTGATTTTGTTTGCATGAATTTTTATCAGGGTACCGTCCTTACAGAAAACTGAGTTTAAACCCAATGCACTCTGGGTAAACTGCGTCTCATTAGGAACCTTCTCCATTCCTCTGGGTTGCACAGATCTTCTAAAATCTCTAATCCATATGCATTTGACTGCTTAGTCTCCCACCTGGCCAGGTGTAGTGGCATGTGAACAATCTATTTCATAAAACATGAAGAGGCACTTTCTCCTTTTTCACTCCTGAATGTCTCTAGCCTTCTAGTCCAGCATATCAATACTGCATTACCTTATCTTAGTGAAGCGGTTCACGTCACGGCCACGGAAAAAAATGAAAACCCCAGCTCTGCCTCGTTTCCCGTGCACGGTTAATTCCCAGGCAATTATCTGCAGGTGCAACCTCTGCGTGTTGGCTTAATTGACGCTTTCTTTATCAGAGGCAATTTTCCTAGGAAATTAGCAACTGCTTACACCTGCAGCTGCTCACGCATGCAGGTGGCAAGCCAGATGTGGCTTTATAACCCCATCCCCAGATTATCCCGGGGTTTAAAAGTCAGAATCATACAAGGTCGTGTGTTTAGGAATATGGCTCCTAAGAAGGATATCTCTTTCTCATTGAGGGAATCCAACTGCTGAAAGATCAACACCGAAAAGAGGATCCGGTAACTCACCTGGGGCAGGACCTCGTAGCATCCCGGGAGGTCATCGGGATTGATGAGCTGGATGGTCTTCTCGTACGGGTACTTCAGGAAGCAGCGCCCGAAGTCCACCTCTGAGTTAGCCATGCGGAGGGCAGGCACAATGCACCTGCTCAAAGGAAGGAGCCCATTAAAGAATTTAAAAGCGTAGAAAGCTTGTTTACGTAGGGAGAACCAAGAGTCCCAAGCTAAACCCATTTGTTACTGTCACGTCGTATTTTTCTCTAATAACTACATTAATCACTTTCAAATCTTCGCTCCTTGCCTTCTCCTCTCTCCCTTAGCCCCCAGTCATCATCATTTTTTTTTTTAATCAAAAAAGGGCTGGAAGCAGGACTCTTTAAACAACTGTCATCTGTGGGTAACGACTAACATTCCCATTGTTTTTCAAACTTAGCCTTCCTTTGGCAAGGGACCACCATTGGACAGGTTACTTAGGGTTAGTGAACCCGTTTCCCCGACAAACAGGGGCAATGCCACCAGCATGGGGTTCTAACTAGCTGTGCCACTTTGGACCAGCCAGAGTCCCCCCCCCGCCCCCCCGAGGGCTGGTAACAACTCACACCAGCTAAATAATGGTAATAATTCTGATTCCTATGCAGAACAGCTGTCTTGGATCAGCAGGCTCAGGCAGCTGCTCGACCCAGAGCTGGCGCGCTGACAACAGGGGCTGGGGTGGAGGAGAGGGAGGGAGGAGGGGAGGGAGGGAGGGGTGTGTGCTGGAGAGGGAGGAATGGAAGCCCTGTGTGTGCAGCTGATCTATCATTAGATGACTTGGGTTTTATTTGTGTCTGTGAATCTCAGCCTCTGCCCTGCCCGGCTGCACTGTCACAATATAGCACAATGGTGAGGAGCGCTGGCACCGAAGTCCCACAGAGCCAGGTTCAAGCACAACCTTGAGCAAGTTGTGCCCCTCCTCCCCCGCCCAGAGCCCCATGTTGCTTATAAATAAAATGCAGGTGATTCCAGGGGTTGACAGTAGCATCATTAACTCTTCTTAGGGAACCGTGGGAAATGCAGGGGCTAATGTGAATGAAGGGCCATGGAAGGGCTCGGTAAGAGGCGACTGATGTGCAGGAGGGGGCACGACAAGCCATCACTGCTGGATCTCTGGGAAAATCACTGTAGAGAGCAAGTTAGAAAAGCAATTCTCTGTTGAGAGTCTTTGAGCAGGTTCCACAGATTACAGGGAAGTGCTGTAATGACAGGAAAGAGAGGCCTGTTAACCCCAAAGCTTGAGATTCCACAAGGGATGAGTGTTCATGTTTAGCTAAAATGGAAGTTGTCAGCTGACCCGATGGCTTTCAAAAGCTAATCCTGTACTACCTGGAATGCTGTGGCTGAGAGGGTTTATAGTACTTGACGTGGTAGAAACTCATAGCCTCTTAGGACCTTATTTTTATTTATTTTATTTTATTTTTAAAAAATATATATATTTTATTGATTTTGTACAGAGAAGAAGGGAGAGAGATAGAGAGTTAGAAACATCGATGAGAGATAGACATCGATCAGCTGCCTCTTGCACATCCCCTACTGGGAATATGCCCGCAACCAAGGTACATGCCCTTGACCGGAATCAAACCCGGGACCTTTCAGTCCCCAAGCTGATGATCTATCCATTGAGGCAAACCGGTCTTGGCAGGACCTTTTTTAAATTTTTTTTTTTTTTTATAGGAAGGGGGAGAGAGAGAGAGAGAGAGAGAGAGAGAGAGAGAGAGAGAGAGAGAGAGAAACATCAGTGATGAGGAAGAACCATTGATCAGCTGCCTGTTACTGGAATATGCCTCCCACTGGGGATTGAGCCCGCAACCGGGGCATATGCCCTGACTGGAATCAAAGCACAGCCTCATGGTTTATAGGTCCACACTGAACCACTGCCACACCGGCCAGGCAGGCCTTCTTCTTTCTTTCTTCTTCTTCTTCTTTTTTTTTTTTTTTTTAAATTTTTTAAATTTATTTATTTTTAAAATATATTTTATTGATTTTTGTACAGAGAGGAAGGGAGAGAGATAGAGAGTTCGAAACATCAATGAGAGAGAGTCATCGACCAGCTGCCTCTTGCACACCCCCTACTGGGGATGTGCCCGCAACCAAGGTACATGCCCTTGACTGGAATCGAACCCGGGGCCCTTCAGTCCCCAAGCTGACGCTCTATCCACTGAGCCAAACCGGTCCCGGCTTTTTTTTTTTTTTTTTTTTTTTTTAATCGTATTTCCTATTGATAGCTGTAGGGAAAAGAGGCTGGAAAGTATCAGAATAAACTCACATAGAAAAATGCAAGACTAGACAAAAAGGCCAACTTGGGTACAGACAGGACCAGATGAAACAAACGAATGAATCACTTCGGTGTTGGGAAAGAATACTGAGTAAGTAGATCACGACAAGACCTTGGGCGTCAAGTTCCTGGAGGACTGCTCTTTGACTTCATCCAAGCCCCAGGCCCACGCAAAGGGGCCCCTTACGGTGCCTTTATCAACCAGTAGGTCTGCAACTTCTTCAAGGTGCATTTTCTTAAGATTCATGACAGAACTAAATTCTAGGAATGGATGTATTGCCAGGAATGTTCTATTTCTTTTAGATGGCATTTTCCTGTGTACACTCTCAAGTCCAAGATCTGGACCCTCGTTTGCTTTGGCAACAGTGCGGCCAATGATTGTATTCAGGGTCACTGTCACCATCAGTGGGAAGATGGTAACTTGGTCAAGTAGACAGAGTCACCAAAGCAAGCCAGGATCCTAACCTGACTCCGGAGCCCATTGCTGGCTCTGTTAAAAAAAGAGAGAAGCTGTCCAGCTGGTGTGGTTCAGTGGTTGAGTGTTGACCTATGAACCAGGAAGTCATGGTTTGACCCCTTGTCAGGGCATATGCCCGGGTTATGGGCTCCATCCCCAGGAGGAGGTGTGCAGGAGGCAGTCGACCAATGATTCTTATCATTGATGTTTTTATCTCTCTCTCCCTCTCTCTGAAAGCAATAAAAAAATATATAGATATATTTTAAAGTAGAGAAGTTGGATGTTGGTTCTGAGGAGTTTATAGTTAGAAAGGGCCTTGTTTGGGTACCCAATTGCAGCCCGGAGCCTTGCTAAATGGATCATCCACTGCAGAATTGTGGGCACCACTCTTTCTGCTGCAGACCTTCGGGCTCATCCTTTTTTAATGATAAACATAAGAAACAGCAACTGTTCACATCTTTCTGCTAAAATCCTTTTAGCTATATACCTGGAAAGTCAGAAACTTAAAACCAGAGAGCACCAGTATTCTTCAAACACACACACACACACACACACACACACACACACACACACACACACACATGCACACACACCTTCTCTCATCTCCACGGAAGGTGAAGGTGCGTCTGCAGTTTGAAAGCTCTGTCATTCCAATCACACTCAGCCTCCCTTCGGGGAAAGCAGAACAAATGCAGCGTGGGCCTTTGACAGGCCTGCCGCCTCCTGGAGAGGCAGCCCTTCCCGGGGCCCAGGGAGACGGGGACAAGGGGGGCGGGTGAGCGATACCTCGCTGTAATGAGGAGCGCCAGCACTTCTTCGCCGATGCCCTCCACGTCCACCACCAGGGCCAGCTCGTATTTCTGCACGGTGTTGGAGCATAAGGTCACCTGGAAAGCGAAAGGGGAAAAGCTGCTCTTCCAAGAGCCCAGCTCTCCCGCTGCAGAGGGGCGAGGGGAGCCCGGGGACACGGAGGAGGGGGGCCTCTCAGTGCTTGTCTGTGGGACGCATGGCATGTCACATGTTTCGGTGAGCCAGCTGCATCTCGGGGCCAGGGCATGCTGAGTTTTTTCAAAGGCCAGGCCAGAAGCCCAGCGGCTGTTAGTACAACAGGCCGGCTCATTTCTGAGGAGACTGTTATCAAAGAAGCTGTGCACCTACACAAGGGGGGAAGTGACCATGAAGGATGAGCCACATCAAACAAACGCTAATTATTGCAACGTAAGTCGCTCCCCATACCTCTGGGCTGTGTTAATGATGAAAATTTAGGACACCAAGAAAGCACTCCAGCTAAATGTCTCTTATAGCAAAATACATGACATAACCATGTCCGAGGCAGAGAATGGCATGAAACATCAGCTAGTTCTGTGTTGTGCGTGTTTTTTTTGTTTGTTTTTTCCCTTGTCCCCTGCCCCCATAGTCATTATTAAAGCAGAAAATAGAGGTGCCAAAGAAAGGTCTGCCTAAGGACAATATCTGGCAAGTAGTATTTTTTTTTTTACCCTGTGTTTTATTTACTGTTGTGAAATGTTACATTTAGGCTTTTGAAGCCTTGTTATTATTATAATTGCTTTACAATGATTTGTACTGGAAGGGATGCGTGCAAGTCTAGAAAACGGCTTCTGGCACAGGTTAAGGCTTTTCTGGCTATACATTATGTATCAGGTACTAATTAAAATTTTTTTTAGTTGCAGAGGGAATTACTGGATGCAAATTTGAGTCCACAGAAGACATGGTTGGAGTACAGATGATGAGGGAAAAATTGAAGCTTGGAGAAAGCTTTTTCCAAATAGAAAGGAAAAATGAAGTGAAGATGGGGGTCAATGATTTGGAAAGAAGACGTGTCAGATTTGGAGAGAGGCAGCTGCCCCTGTGTTCAGAGATTCCTGGAGTGATCTGCCCCTTTTATGTCTCTGAGCTGTGGTTAGGAGGCAGAAAAACACGTGGTTCTGGCAGAAGGCTGCTAGATAGATCTATATCTTCTCAAATCTTTCTGTACTATGTGAAAGAGGCAAAAAAAAAAAAAAAAGAAAAGAAAAAGAAAGAGGGAAGGTAGCTAACAGGTAGTCTGAGCATTAAGAAATAAAAAAAATTAAATACATTCATTGCAACAGCATTTCTCACTGGGAAATTCACAGTTAGCAACTATGACCTGTGAGTGGTTGTGTCCTCCCCAAATTCCTATGATGAAATCTTAGCCCCTAACGTAATAGTATTGGGAGGTGGGGCCACTGGGAGGTGATTAAGTCAAAGGATGGGGCCTTCATGAACAGGATTAGTGCCCTTATAAAAGAGGGCTATCCACCACATGAGGATGGAAGAAGTCAGCAGCCTGCAAGCTGGAAGAATGCAGAACCCAAGCCTGCTGGCTCTCTGATTTCAACATCCTGCCTTCAGACTTATGAGAAATAAATCTCTGTTGTTTATAAGCAACCCAATCTCTGGTATTTTATAAGAGCAGCCCAAATAGACTGAGATAGTAATCCTGAGAGGTTATAACGATATATGAAATAAAATCTCATTGGACCAGTGGAGAAGCCTTTAAAAGAGCTAAAAAAAAAAATACACATAACTCCCAGAAAAGTGTTAGGATGAATAGATTCATGGTGAGATATTAAGAAAGCATTTAAAACAATTTTGAGGGGATAAAACCGTAGCTGAATTAAATATTCACAGATAGTGACTAAAGAGGAAATTATTAACCTTAGCTATAAAGTCTTATCTTTTTTCTTTTCCAGAAAAGATAAAATCATTCCAATTTTGCAGCATTCAATATTGCTAGATCTGATTGTTTGAGGAGGAAAAAGTCAGTGAGAGAAGACAGGAAAACGTTCTCAGTTAGCCATGAAATAATTCTGCTGGTGGCACTGACAGCCCAATAGTAAGCCTAGGTTCAGACTAAAAATCTGAATCCATGGGATGTCATCTGTGTCATAAATGTGGGCATTTGTTGGTATACACGATTTGAGTCTAAAGGAAAGGAGGACCTAATGATCACCGAGTCCTTGCATCTTTCTGTATCTGTGCTGATGGGTGCGCTATCTGTGCAGAGCTGTGGTTTCACTAGAAATCCCTACAACCTGCTGATCTGGTGGAGGCAGCCCATGGAGGCCGACGGGAATCCAAGGGGGGGGGGGGGGGTGCCAGTTCTTTTGCCCAGTGTGTTTGCGCCTGGTTCCTTTCACCACAGCGGCTTGTTTCCTGAGAGGCCCACGTTTCCATGTGAACCGGAGGCACTCCTTCCCACTGACTCCGGGCACGTAGGGGAAACCCTGGGTGTGGTCCCGCGGCCATTGGAGAGTTCAGCTGCCTGGGGGGGGGGGGGGAGGGGGCGCTTTACCCTGATAGCAGCGAATCCTTGGGAGCGAATGGTGCCGCTGTTAGGGGTGATGGTGAATTCTTTTGGTTTCGTTATGGGTACTTCCTCCTTGTTCCAAGAGGGTCCTTTGGTGTCTGAATACTGCTCACAGCTTGAAGTGCTCTCATGGCCGTCCCCAGGGATACGCAGTTTGAAGGTCATGGGGACCAGGGAGGTATTATTGAGGGAACATATCAAGGTATGAGGAAACCCTGGAAAACAAAATATGAGGTGAGAAAAGCCCCGCAACAGCCTCCCTTTAACTCCAACCTCCTCAGCTGCCAAACCTCTCAAATAAATGGTCTACGCAATTCAGCACTACTTGCTTAATTCTAACTCTCCCCCATGTTGTTTTCAATTGTAAACCAGCACATACATTTCATGCATTTACTCACTCGTTCATTCAATTATTCAATGAATACTTACTCATTTACTACGCAGCGACAATAGACATAAAATCACCATTCCCCGTCCTCCCCCAGATCTGGCCTCTGTTATCAGTTTGCTGAGTAATCTTCTAGAAGGATATTTTGCATTTAACTTTTGCATAGAAATACAGATTTCCCCCAAACAGAATAATGTTTGCTCTTTTTGTCTATGTGTGAAAGGAGAAGCCTGTGCGGTTTTGCCCGCATGTGATCCTGAGCCTGCCAAGACATTATACAACTTACCCTGGACCTGTCTGAGGCTCATGCCCTCGGGGTCGACGACACAGAAACTGAGGAACAGCCTCTACCAACAGGGACTTTGTGATCTGCTTCTGAGCCAGACAGAGACCAGCACATTGGCTTTTAGCTCCCTGAGACCAAGCTGCTTTTTCGTGCTATAGCTAGCCCTCCTACATCCAGTTCAGTGTGAGTCACGTCCCCTTCCAGAGAGATGGGGCTCCTCCTGGGTGCCCATTGTACCTGCCACCACTTTCAGAACAAGAATGATCTGTGACCACAGGAGAACAAATATGCATGCAAACACTACTCTTTCTACTTTGGACCCTACGGCAGTATAATACAGCTGGCCTGGGAGTCACCGCTGCAGTACTGCAGAGGGCATTGTACACTGATCCATTTCTGTCCCCTTGTCTGAGCCTTGTCTACACAATCGGGCTGTGGAAGAAACACACTCATGTCCCCTCTGTGATACCACCCCTGCCAATCAACTTGGAAGAAATCTTTAATGAAAAAAGAAGTGTCTAATTAAGTGCACCTGAAGGATTATTATTGGAAATTCCAGAGGAACTGCTAGAAAGTCAGTTTCACAACTATATCGATATAATTGCTACATTGGACTTACACTCTGACTTGACCCGACCATTTGTGGGACAAACACTTGTCTAATGTAGGGTGTGCCTATTATGGAAGTGGATTCTATAAAAACTCAGATGGGTTCTTCCAAACCATTGCTCAGACTACTTCCTGAAGCTATTAGTTTTTCTCAGAATAAAGGCAATTATAACCTCTTCCCTAGAGCAATCCCTGTACCATTACCTGTAATATTGCTTGTCAAAAAGCCTAAAGGGCAGGGATATTGTTGAAGATTGGGATTCTGCTGGAACTAAATCCTAACACTGTCCTAGCTACAGTCTCATCGGAATGCCAGTGCTTTACAGTACAGACTGCTGTTCTCCCTTCCTTGATATCTATAAGATAAGATATCATCAAAGTATATAAAAACTCAACACTTCTTGGAGTAATTAACAACATGCTCGGTCAGATCACCTTAAAGACTCACAGTGGCACCTTCATTCCTCTCCTAGCACTTAAATTTGATTTAAAAGACAATATTCTCAGGAGATTTGATTTTCATTTAATGTGCATATTGTCACCTGATCTAGGAAGCCTCTAAGAAGACTTATGGAAATCAGGAGCTAAATATTGTAAGGCAGAAAAGTTTCAATTCTGACAAAAGATGCTACATTACTTAGAACATGATTGTTCTACTAAAGAATAGACCTAAGTAAGGAGAGCGTGAAATTGTTCAGCAATACCCAGGATCAAAAATTCAACTACAATTCATGGATTTTGGGGGACACATGGGATCTTTTAGACAATAGATCCCTAATTTTTCTAGTGAAATAAAAATCTTCACCAAGTGAAGGGAAATGTGTTGGCAGATCATTCTGCAAAACAGGTGGTACTTTTGTAGTTGTCTGTAGAAATAAAGCAGAAAATGGGAGATCAATAAACATCTGCACAACCCATTTTGGACATTAAAAAAATGAACCTCAAACTTAGAAACACCAACATTTCCTAAAATCAGCATCCTCTGTCCACTTCAGTGGTCTTCAGCACACCAACTGTGATGTGCCCCAAAGCCTTTGACAAAAACCACAGATCCCATCACAGAGGAGACAAGGTCACCTCTGAACAAGAGCTGATGGGAAAAATTTTCCTCGGTAGCTGGATATCACATTCCAGAAAAACTGTGCAGTGAGACATGGGCTTAAATCACACTCCAGTAAACTTTTCAAATAAAAGATGATAAATTTAAGAATGTGTCTCTATAATTGTCTGTAAATTCTTTAGGTGGATTTGAGCCTCCCTATATAGAAAGGCTGCTGCCATAAATGTGACTAAGAAAGTACACACTGTAACTTCCCTCCCTTGGGGAACAGCAGCCTCACAGAGAAGTTATTTCATGGTCCACAATTCTTGGGAAATCTACAGCATAAAAACAGGATTCTATTTCTTGAATTGGCCAAGCTCTCTGAGGCTTTTGGAATTCTTTGGGGGAAGAGTTTTACCTTTAATTCTAATGTCCATCAGATCAGGTTAATTTCCAATGGAACTCGTAGACTATTAAACTAGAAAATCCAGGAAATTGAACGTCTTTTATCAGTCTGAATCAAGCTTGCTTCATGCACACATAACTAAATATTGTAAAGAACCAACTCATCTAGAAGCCACCCCTAAAAATTCACCCTCAGGTCTTCTCTCTGAAAAAATATACCAACAGTCTTTAGGGACTTCTCTGATCCTGGGGTTACCTATAAGGTAGACTTTTGGGTAAAAAGATGCCCAAAGAAACTGAATTATTGGCAGAAGCCATGGAGAAAACACTTTTACTGGAAATTTTAAATGGTAGCTTGCTAATAAAACTTCCAGAAATGGTTGCCCTACAGAAATAGATTGCCGTTCCAAGCTTCTCAAAACAAAGCGGTGTTTACATGATGTAGAAATATTCTGCCAAGACTTAGTGGAACTCGCTAGATGCTTTCCTTTGCCTACTTTGTTCTTTAGCATCTGGCCATATTATTCTCTAGTTGCTCTCTTAAAGTTATATGATTCTGATATCCCTTGGTATGTCTCTCTTACTGTTAATGGTAATTGGCTTGGGTGTGGCCTTTGCTTTTGCTTATTTTATGACCCTTGCTGCCAATCTTTCTAAGATCTTTTTATGATCATTACAAGTAAGTGCTGCCCTTGACTCCCTACTCTACACCCTCAGAAAGTCAATTTAAATAACTGAGTAAAATACTGATAGTTCATACCTGGGTCATGGAAGAGGCAACGATCATGCATTTTTTAAAATGCTTATATTTATTCCAAAAACTCTGCCCTCAAACCCTAACTTCTTAGACCAAATTATCCAATTGTCAAGTATACTGAGTGCCTGGAGCCTTCCATACTCCTTGTTCTCAATCCAGCACATTCTTAGTTCAATATTATAGGTAATAGTATAAGGAATTGCTCTAGGTAGGAAATTATAATTGCATTTATCCTGAAAAATAGTGGCTTAACAGATACCCACCCTGCCCCTTTCGGTTGATCACTTGGATTATCAGTGGTTACTTGGTTCCCTTTTATTCTCTGACTATTCTGAGGATTTATTGAAGCTTCAATATTCTTCAGGGACAATTGCCACCCAATTCTATCATCTGACACTCTCATGCTATTGTAGCTTCAGTCAGCCTAGTTAATTATTAGATATGTCAAAAAATTATTAGATATGTCATCTGACATCTAATCTTATCAAGATATTTAAAACTATCTTCAAACATTTTAGATACTAACCTACTTTAGATTATCCAAACTGTAATATATGGTAGCTGCTAACATCATCAATCCCAGTAGACCCTGATGTTAAATCTCCATTTTCATTTTTCACAAGAACCTACAACAGACATCTCTTCGGGAATGGAATGGGCCTTAGTGCCAATATGGAGACAATATAACCAACTTTTATTAGCTTCATGCACTCCCAAGCCCTACAAAAGTCTCTGAAAACCTTGCTTAACTCCACATGATAAGTCTGTCACCCTGAAATAAATTTTAAAATTTCTCCAATTCCTGGTTTGCTGCTGTAACAGTTAATTTTGCTTTTGCATCTGGAACTATATGTACCCTTGTTGGTCTTTTATTCTCGAGCCCATGACATGCTCACTTTTATCTGCCTCATCAAAGCCCTACTTGCACATGCAGGATAATAATGAAAAGCTTCCAGGAAATAACTGCCAATGGACCGTGTTTCTTTGTGACAGGAAGTCCCACTACCTGGAAAAATAATTAGACTTTGTGTTGAAGTCACGAGGACTCTAGTTCCAGCTTTGGAATATGAAAATGTCATAAAATAATTTTGAAAGGGTATCATAACATTTTCTCTAATTTTGGCTGTTACAGTACAAAATCTAGAAGCACAGAAAAGTAGCTTGAATTAACTGACACAAGTGGTTTTGAAAACCACGTAGCCCTAGATCGCCTGTTGGCAAGCAAAAAGAATGTTTTTGTTAGCCTTCCCTGCCACACCAGAGAAGACTAAGGAACCCATATCCGAACGAAAAGAAAAGGCAACTTGGGTTTTGAAGGGAGACTAAGGAGTGACAAATTCTCAAATCTCAGACGCGGCAATCTTGGGTCATGGCTCAGTAGAGTGCTCCAGCATCTTATCTAGTGGCTGTCTCATCAACTGGTTCAATAAGATACTATAGAAGGAAAGAAAAATATGCTGCTTCTAATTTTCACCTACCGTATTTTCCGGCGTATAAGACGACTTTTGAAATGGAAAAAAAGCCTGCTCAGATTGGCCAGAGTCAGAGAGGCGGTCTATTAAAAACAGAACTGGTGTTACCTCGGAAGTGGGGGGGTAGTCTTATACAGCAAATATAGGCCTAAACCTATGTTTTGACTGTAAAATTAGGGGGGTCGTCTTATGCGCCTGGTCGTCTTATATGCCGGTAAATACGGTAAGCTAGTTACCAAAACTTCTAGCTAGACCAAGTCTGAGAAACAGCGGCTGGCCCATCATTAGGTCAGCATTGACGTCAACACTGCGGAGGTGAGCACTAGAGTAGTCTGGACAGAGTCGGGGTGAAATTTCCTGAACTAATTGATTTGAGGTACTTGTTTGTACTCTGTTTTCTCCCTCCAGGGCAATCTGATACCGGGCACATCTCCCAAACGCCCTTGGGCTGGACTCGGTCTTGAAATGCCAGTGGGAGGATATGCTGCTGTCATGCATCAGTTGCCCAGACCTCCCCGTGGGCTCCGTTTGAGCTGTTTAGAGGATGACTGCGTAGGTCTTGGGACACTAATTCACTTCTTATTGTGCAGCTGTCACAGTCACCCTTGAGAGAGGATGCCTTTCTTACTTGGCCACCAGATGATTTTCAAGTTATAGTCATTTTTATTTCCTTCAAAAGAGTCTATCACTCAAACATGCCCTACAATTTTGTGAGATTCTCTGCAGCCATTTTCATATTCTATAGTAACAAACAGATATTCAACTTCATGTTTATAGATTTACCTATGGTATGTAGTATCTTACCTAATATAATGCAGATGGGGAGCACTGTATAAATAAATATGTTCTGTGTTATACCCCACGTGGTAAAGCAATTGATAAAGGCATCTAATCAGCTTTCTCTAAAGAACTGTTTTCCCCCAAGTAGACGCAAAAGAACTGAACGTCAAAATGGGAGATGATAGGAGAAAATGGAAAAGTTTGTGGAGCATGGATCTAGACCAGGGGTTTTCAACCTTTTTAACTATTATCATCTCCTAAAAAGAACCAATGTAATAAATTAGTTTCAAATCAAATAAATTATATTTCATTAATATGATTTAAATTCTATTTAATTTCTCCTTAATGAAAAAAATTAAACAGAACTTAAATCATGTTAAATTCTTCCTAATGAAGAAATTAAAATATCAGGGGACAAGATTCTGTTGGGGAGAGTTGAATTCTGGAGGACCACAAACCACTGTTATACCTAAGTTTTGTTTCAATCCCCGAGAACCCATTTCTGCCTCTTCGGGTGTAGCAGTATCACTTGCGCTGACAGTACGTGATTTAAATACACCTCAACTGAAATGCTAATTTCTGCTGTGTGAATTTAGGAAATTATTTAACCAATCAATGCTCAGTTCTTCCATCTCTAAAATGGGGATCTTAGATAGTACCTCCCCATAGGGCTGCTAAAAGGTTTAAACGTAGTGCTGCCTGTAATGTGCTTAGCAGTGATTGGAATATATACAAAGAACCAATAAATAGGATTTTTTGCTGTTATCGTTTTTTTCTCATTTTTATTATTGGGGAAGCTTAGGTGGGAGAAAATGGCTTAGAGAAGTAACTGGATGAGAAGAACACAAAAGCACAGAAGAGTCTTCAATTTGCAGTGGTAAGACACCTGAATCGACCCACCACTGAGTTCACTTTGAACTTGACAGCATCTCTGGGGAAAGGTAAGCTGCGTGGCCAGCCTGGCAGATCAAGTTCTGCACATAAACAGAATAGAATGTTCATAATGTTCAGATGGTGGAGTGAAGCATAAGGCCTTCCACCGTTCCCTGCTGGAAGCGGGAGGGGGGGGGGGGGGAATGGCTGTGGCCTGACAACTGTTAGTGCCCGGGACGCAGTTCCAACTTCCACATGGAAATGGGGAAAGGGCACTGAAATGCCACTTCTGCAGAAGAACAATTCTAGATCCTCTCAGCTTCTACCCATAAAAAATAAAAATGGAAAGACTCTTTGTAAACATTTGTCCTCCCCTGTAGAGAAAAGTAATTTTTCTGCTTCTAATTTAGAATGAAAAATACTCACCAAAGGAAACATCCCCAAAGTGCAGAGCAGGAACATTGAAGTGGAAGGTGGGTCCGATGACACAGCCTCTGGAAGCAGGAGCACAAGGAGGAGAGTGGGGGAGAACCCCGTGAACGCAGGGCAACAATCGACAACCCCGAGAGGGTCCACTGAAAACCCCCATTGGGCATTAATCAATGTTCGGATCCAGGGTTTAAGAAAACTAAGAGATGATGGTCTAACACGGTGGCTAACTCAGGCAAGAAAGGAAAAATATAGCTTTAATCATATGAGGACTATCGAAGACTATCAATACCACCAGTAGTCCTTGTCCCACACTTTTATAAAACTGTTTGAGGCCATTCCCTCCCACTAACTGGCTGTGAGCTTGGCCAGTCACTACTTCTACAAGCTTTAGTTTCTTTTCCTCAGGCATAAAGGGGAGGACTGGATTGGTGACTTTTAAAGGACTCTTTACCCTGAATGTTGGTCTATTTCTCAGTGCAAGGCCTCATGACCAGCATTGCTCAGTGGTTGGGCGTCAAGCTATGAACCAGGAGGCCACGGTTCAAATCCTGGTCAGGTCACATGCCCACGTTGTGTGCTCGATCCCCAGTGGGGGATTGCAGAAGGCAGCTGATCCATCTATGCAAATCTTTAGGTGTGGGGAAATGCCCTTAGCCATTTCCAACAGGCAATAACAGGTGATTCAGCCTTGCTGAATACCCAAGTTCATCAACCTTTTGATGAAACTTCTTACATTTAGGACATGCTGGAATTAATTTCTGGCAATAATAAACTAAAATGAAATAAATACAGGCATACTTCAGAGATATTGTGGGTTTGGTTCCAGACCACCATAACAAAGCAGGTATCACAATAAAGTGAGTTGTAAACTTTTTGCTGGTGGTGGTGGGGGTCTTGCTCTCGATTTATAAACAAATAACCCATAACATCTATGAAGTGCAATAGAGCAAAGTGCAATAAAATGAGACATGTCTGTAATAGATTCTACAGCCTCTAGTGTGCCAGGTGTTTAATGTTATATTCACGCAGATACCAGCCAACACCTACACACAAATCTCCTTATTCACCCAGCTTCAGATACTAGTGATGCAGGTGTGTCTCACCATGCTGAGCCCAGGGTACCCTGGCAATACTGGCTGCTGCAGAGCTGACCATAATGTGGTGAGGGGCTCCAAGTGTGGGAGGAGCCATGACAGCAAAGACAAAATTCTGGTTTCAAAGAGATGGCTGGTATTAGGATCTAGCTAAGAAGGAAATCAAACCAGTCTGGATTAAATTCTTGACTTGTAAAAGAATTTTCTGTGATGGGGTAGGACCAGGGGAGACAGGAAAAAAATAATAGATCAAAAGTGTCTGAAAGGCACAAAAGGCTAAAGAAAGGAAGAAAGAAGCTTACAAATTTGCACAAAGCAGTCATATAATCAGTGAAGTAGAAAGAACCAGAGTTAAATCACATCAGTTCGAAGGCACACACAACTAGGGAGCTGTGGCTGAATACCATCTGGACTTAGATATGGTCACATTCATTCTAACAGGGATTCTGAATATTATAGGACAGTTTCTGCCAAGATTGTGTCCTCCATCACTGCAGTGGCCTGGTAAAATTATAAAGACTACGAGTTAGGATGATTGAATTACTATGACATGTTAAGTGAAATATTTTGAAGACAAAATATATCTGCGCTATGGTTAAAACTTTATAAAATTACATATGCAAATATTTGAAGGAAGAAAACTGTGCTTGAGTAATTTTTTAAAAATCACGTTGATTTTACAGTGTTGTTTATCCAACTACTTAAAAAACTGTCTATGTAGTTGAAGAGTAAATAGAATAGCAAAAGACCTTCATCTTTGTTCTTATTTTTTCAAATTGTTTTTAGCTATTCTGGGTCTCTTGTATTTCCGTATGAGTTAGGATCAGCTTGCCAATTATTGAAAAAAATTGGCAGGCAGCTGGGATATTGATAGGGATCATCTTGAATCTATTTATCATTGGGGAAGGTATTGCCAGTATTAAGTCTTCCAACCCATGAACATAGATGTCTTTTCATTTATTTAGATCTTGTTTTGTAGTTTTCAATGTACAAATCTTGCACCTTTTTGGTTAAATGTATTTCCAAATAAATTATTGTTTTTGAACCTATTGTAAATGGAATTTTCTTAACTTAATTTCTGAATTTTCAATATTATTGCCTAAAAATACAATTAATTTTTAAAAATATATATATTTCTATTGATTTCAGAGAAGAAGGGAGAGGGAGAGAGAGAGAAAAATGTCAATGATGAGAATCACTGATTGGCTGCCTCCTGCACACAGCACGCTGGGGATTGAGCCCGCAACTCAGACACGTGCCCCCGATCAGAATCGAACCCAGGACCCTTCAGTCTTCAGGCTGATGCTCTATCCACTGAGCCAAACTAGGTAGGGCACAATTGATTTTTGTATGTTGATCCTATATCTTGCAATTTTTCTGAACTCACTTATTAGTTCTTTGAGTGTGTGTGTGTGTGTGTGTGTATTCCTTAAGATTCTTTATATACAACATCATATCATCTGCAAACAGAAATAGTTGTACTTTTCCTTTCCAATCTGGATGCTTCTTATTTCTTTTTCTCAACTACTTGCCTTGGGACAGAACCTCCAGTAAACGTCGAACAGCAGAGGCAATGCAGGCTTCCTTGTGTTGTTCCTGACCTTAGTGAGAAAACAGTCTGTCTTTCACCATTAAGCATAAAGTTAAATGTGAGTTTTTCAGAGGTGTTCTTTATCATGCTGAGGGAGTTCCTTGCTAATCCTAGCTTGTTGAGGTTTGTTGTTTTTGTTTATCTTTTTAAATCATAAAAGGTGCTTAGTTTTGGTGAGTGTTTTTTCTATGTTTATTGAGATGATCATATGATTTTGGTCCTTTATTCTAATAATAAGTTATATAACAGTAATTTTTGTTGAGCCAAACTTCAAACTTGCACTCCTGGGATAAATTCTACTTGGTCATTGTGTATAATACTTTCTATATGTTGCTGCTTTGATTTGGTTTGCTAGTGTTTTATCAGTAATTTTTGTGTCTATATTTGTAAAAGTCTTCAGTTTCTTTTCTTGTGATGCTTTTCTCTGATTTGGGCATAGGGTAATACTGGCCTCTGAAAACGAATTGGAACATGTTCACACCTCTTCTATTTTGGAGGAAAGCAATATTTTGTGGAGAATTGATGTTAATTCTTCGTTAAACACTCAGCAGAATTCTCCTGTGAAGCCATTTGTTCCTGGGTTGTTTGCTTGAGTGTGTGTGTGTGTGTGTGTGTGTGTGTGTGTGTCAGGGTGAGGTGGGGGTGTTAGTGGTTCTATTTCAATCTCCCTAAACTATTATAAGTTTATTCATATTTTCTATTAGATTTGATAGTTTGTGTCTTTCTAGGAACATGCCAATTTCATCCAGATTCTCTAATTTGTTGGCATACAACTGTTCATAAAATTCCCTAATAATTCTTTTCATTTCTGTAATGTTGGTAATAATGCCCCCTCTTTAATTTCTGATTTTTAGTACTTTGAGGCTTTTCTTCATTTTTTTTCTTGGTCAGTTTCATTAAAATTTGTCAATTTGTTGATCTTTTCAAAGAACCAACTTTCACTTTCATTAGTTTTCTCTATTGTTTTGCTCATTAATTTTCATTCTAATCTTGAGTATTTCCTTCCTTGTACTTGTTTTGAATTTATTTTCCTCTTCTTTTTCAAGTTTTTAATACAGATATTTACATTATTGATTTGAAATATTTCTTTTTAAAAAATATAAGCACTTAACAGCTAATAATTTCTTATAAGCATTACTTTCACTACATATCAAGAGTTTTAACATCTGTTTTGTTTTCACTTATCTCAAAATATTTTAAAATTTCCATTGTGATTTCTTTATTGACCCATTGGTGATGTTTCATTTTTCACATATTTGTGAATTCTCTAAATTTCCTTGGATTTTTATTTTTTAGTTTCATTTCTTTGTGTTGAAAACACATTTGTATGACTCAAATCACTTAAAATGTATTGAGACTTGTTTGATGGCTTCACATATTATCTATCCTGGAAAATGTCCCAAGTGCACTTGCTGGGTGGAGTGTTCTGTACGTGTCTGTTAGCTCTGGTTGGTTTATGTATTGTCCAATTCTTATTTCCTTGATGGTCCTCTGCCCAGTTGTTCTGTCAATTATTGAAAGTAGGTACTGACATTTCCAACTATTATTGCTGAATTACCTATTTCTCCCTTTACATCTGTCAGCTTATGCTTCATGTATTCTGGGTCTCTGCTGTTAGGTGCACATGTTTATAATTGTTATATCTTCTTAATGAACTGACTTTTATTATTGTAAAATGTCTCTTTTTTTTTTGTCTCAAGTAACAATTTTTATTTTAAAGTCTATTTGCCTGCTATTAATATAGCAATTTCAGGTGTGTTTATTTTTGTTTTATTTTGTTTGTTACTGTTCGTATGTCTATCTTTTTCCATCCTTGTAGTTTTAATATATTAATTACTTTCAGCTCTAAAATATGTATCTTGTAGACTGCATACAGTTGGGTCATGTTTTGTGGGTGTTTTTTTTATGTTGGTAAAAGATCTCTTTATTGAAATGTGGTGATAGTAGATAGCAACTTTTTGTTTGTTTTCTTTTTAATTTTGTTTTATTGTTTAAAGTATTATATTACAAATAGTAGTACTCATACATGTCTCCTTTTTTTCCCCATTGACTTCCCCCAGCCTCCTCTACCCTCCAACCCCCAGCACATGCCCTCATCACCCCCTCACCCCAAGGTCTTGCATCCATTGGTTATGCTTATGTGCATGCATACAAGTCCTTCGGTTGATCTCTTACCTGCCCCCCACAATCCTCCCCAGCCTTCCCACTGTAGTTTGACAGTCTGTTCAATGCTTCTGTATCTACTTTTATTAATCAATTTATAATGTTCTTTATTATCCACAAATGAGTGAGTTCATGTGATATTTTTCTTTCACTGACTGGCTTATTTCACTTAGCATAATGCTCTCAGTTCCATCCATGCTGTTGCAAATGGTAAGAATTCCTTCTTTTTTATAGCAGCATAGTATTCCATTGTGTATATGTACCACAGTTTTATAATCCACTCGTCTGCTGATGGGCAATTAGGCTATTTCCAAATCTCAGCTATTGTAAATTGTGCTGCTACGAATATAGGGGTGCATACTAGTACTAGTATATCCTTTCTGATTGGTGTTTCTGGTTCCTTGGGATATAGTTCTAGAAGTGGTATTACTGGCAGTTTCGTTTTTAATTTTGCGGAAACACCATATTGTTTTCACAGTGGCTGCACCAATCTGCATTCCCATCAGCAGAGGAGGGTTCCTTTTTCTCTGAATCCTCTCCAGCACTTGTCATTTGTTGATTTATTGGTGATGGCCATTCTGACAGTTGTGAGATGGTACCTCATTGTTTTGATTTGCATCTCTCAAATGATTAGTGACTTTATGCATGTTTTCATATGTCTCTTGGCTTTCTGAATGTCCTCTTTTGAAAAGTGTCTACTTAGGTCCTTTCGTATCTGATTTTGTTTATTTGCGTCCTCTCTCTTTGCTTCTTGCTGAGCCTGGCTAGAGGTTCATCAATCTTGTTTATCCTTTCAAAGAATCAGCTCTTGTTTCATTGATCTTTTGTACTGTTTTTTTGTTTGTGTTTGTGTGTGTGTGTGTGTGTGTGTGTGTGTGTGTGTGTGTGTTTTGGTCTCTAGGTCATTTGTTTCCACTACAATCTTTATTATTTCCTTCCTTCTGCCCACTCTCTGCTTTTCTTGTTGCTTTCTAATTCTTTAAGTTGAAGGTTTAGATGGTTTATTCTTATTTTTTGAGGTAGGTCTGTAATGCTATGAACTTCCCTCTCAGGACTGCTTTCACTGTATCCCAAAGATTTTTGGATTGCTGTGTTTTCATTGTTGTTTGTTTCCAGGATGCTTTTTTATTTCTTCTTTGATCTCTTTGGTAACCACTCATTGTTTAATATTGTCGGTTTTTTAAACTCATTCTGCTAATCTCTACCTTTTAATTGGTGTTTAATATATTTGCATTTAATGTAATTATTGATAGGATTTGTGTCTTTTATTTTACTATTTGTCTTCTATATGTTTTAATGTCTTTTTCATTCCTCTAACTCCTCTGTTACTGTCTTCCTTTGTATTAAATGGATATTATTTAATGCAGTCACATTCTGAAGTACTGGGCAGGAAGACTTCAACATATGAATTTTGGGAAGATGCAATTCACCCTATAATAAGGATACTTAGGTATAAAAGAGACCTAAGAATAATGGTAATGACTTTTGAGCTGATCTTGGGATTCTATATTTCTAGTAGATACCCTACAATCAATAAGTTCCCCTAGGATCCTTCAGGCCATATGTGTCTGTCTCTTCTATGTTCTCTTCAGACCCTGAGGGAGACCTCAGGTGTAGATAGATGGAGGGAGGTCCTCCTAGGGGTAACCATAATGAGAGAGACCACCATGGTAATTAACAACCTGTTACACTGGGAATCCAAATGGAATCTGCAATGTGTTCTGAAACTATTGTCTTTCTAAGCCTTGGAAACCAAAGTTATAGATCTTCCCAATGGATTGGTCACAGAGAACTTCTTTTTTAAAGCCCAAGGACAAACTCTGCTTTCAATTATCACAAGCAGCTGGAGAAGCCATCAAAAGACTGCTAGCACAAAAGCTGCAAATGTCTAGCCTTGACTGTCAGACACTATAAGTAGGCTCTTTTACTACCTGTAGGCTTTATAGATAAGAGCATTTAAAGAATGTCCTTAAAATAAAAGCAGGAGATGAAGACATAGTGAAACTGTGATAATAAAGAGATGATTTTCCCTAAACAGCCTAAAACAGAGAAACAAGAAACTATTTAATAATGGATTAAGACCTTGTGTTATAAGGTTATAGCTTACAGAATAAACTAGCTGGATAACAAAGTAGCATCTGCATCGTGTTTCAATACTAAGTTACACATGTTCAGTAGGGAAAAAACATGGGTAGAAATTTAAAATACCCAATTCCATTGATGTATTCCTATTAACAAAGACAGTTATTGATGCCTAAGATGATAAAGTTTAAGAAGGCAATAGGTAAAACTTCAGCTAGTTACCACATTAGTTACAGATAGGTCTTACCTAATAATCAGTTTCACAGGCTCAGGTGACCCATTGACACTGACCAGGAACTCTTCTTTGAAGTGCCCCAGAATGGAAGAGCAGAAGGAAATCTGGATAGCCTGGACCCCGCTTGGCTTGATGATGCCTTCCTTGGGGCTGAAAACAAAGCAGGCCCCCAAAGCTGAAGTCGGGGGGATCACGTTGAAGAGGGCATCGATGCTGCCTTTGTTGGACAGAATTGCCTATACCAATAAAAAAGGCAAGAATGAAAAGGTGGACAACGGGCCTCGGATATATTTTCATGTAAGCATATGGCTGTTTTATTTAATAACGACGCACAGACAGTGGCAGGCATTAGAAGCAAAGGAAAACTCCACAGGGGAGAAATGAACAGTTTTCTCTCTTGAATGTTTGAAGATGAGTCCCAAACCAGAAAGTAATTTTGTGTTTTCTTCTCATCTTTAAAAAAGAGTTAGTCATATGTATTATACTCATGCAATAAAGACTGATCACAACCACATCTACTTAAGAGCCTTAAAATACTACTTTTGGATACTCTCTATAAAGTAATCAAGGGAAGATAGATTTTTTCCTCTCATACGCGCGAGGAGGCTGAGAGTAAGTGGCATGCTGGAATATAAAAAGCAAGTCAGAATAGAGGAGCAAGAACTACGCAAGCCTATGTAGCTTGATAAATATAAATACGACCTCATTGTGGATTCCAGATTGCAAGGATTTTCTTCCTTGGGATATTAGATTTCATCCTATTGGGATATTTTCAACTCAAACTCCACTGGGTATGCCTATGCAGGCAATGGTTTTACTACAGGAACGTTTTCTATAGAGCAGTGTTCTAGAAAGAGGTCATTACCCATATTTGAATGCCCCCTAGGTATATATCAAAATCTTAAGCTTGACAGTCAGAGTCCTCCACACTGGCTCCGTCTACTACTCCTACTCCCTCTCACAATTCCTGGCCATGAACCTGTACAGCAGTCAGACGCTTCTATTCCTGAGCTCCCAAGACACAATCTCTTCCTTGCCACTGCTTACACCTAAACATGTGAACAACACATGCTCTCTGTGTATGTAGGAACGGCCCTCAACCTACACTGAAGCCATTGGAGGGAAAAGAGCACAGAGGACCCTGAAGAACCATTCAGAAAGGTATGTGGGACCTACATTCCATGCCAGGAACCTAGAGGCCAAGGGAGGAGAATTTCCAGAAAGGGTTGTTGGACGTTAAGGAGAATAAGCTCTGAGGAAATGGTACAGATTTTGTATTTTTTACTTAGAGGCCATCACTGCCCTTGAAGAAGAGAAAATGCCAGTGGAATAAGATCGCAGAATCCAGAGTCCAAATGTTTGGGGCGGGCGGGGGGAGTGAGTGGGTGCAGATGAAATAGTGGTTGACTATTCCAGATTCTGTGTAGAGAAGATTAGTGGTGAAAAGTGAGAATGGAGGTGGCAAAGCTGTGAGAAGGTATGGTAGAGGAGACTTTATTATTATACTTATTATTATAGTTTCTATAATAATAAAAGTGTAATATGCTAATTAGACCGGACAGCTGAATAACCTTCCAGAGGACCTTACGGAAGAAGTCCTGGCTGCGAGGGACGAGCCTCTTGCATGAATTTTGTGCATCGGGCCTCTAGTATTTATAACAAATGAGATAATATATACTGGGTGCCTGGCCTCCGTGTTTGTGGTTGTAATAGACGGAGAGGGCTAGCCAGCCAAGAGAATGGGGTCTGGTGGATATGGGGGCTGGCCAGCTGTTTGCTTCAGGAGAAGAAGAGAATGAGGAACCAAGTGCTAGGACAGAGTAAGAGGCTCTTGCAGAGGAAGACAGCCACTCTGCCAAGAGCAGACAGACAGTGCGCCAAAACAGACATGCGGCTAATTGCTACTTGGTATTTGATTATTCTTTCTACATTTATGTTCCATCTCCCTCTCTCTGTTTTAAGTTCACTGGACAATCATAGGAATTATGGTCCACCCTTCATTCCTTTGAAAGAGACCACGTGGAAAAGTCATTATGACCAGGGACTCAGAAGCCAAATCCCTGGGTTCAAATCTCAGCTCTGCCACTGACTTACTAGCTGTGTGACCTGGGGAAGCATGCTCTGCTTCTCCATGCCTCAGTTTCCCCATCTGTAAGATGTAAACACTGCTAACTTCTCAGGTTGCCGTGAAGATGAAGTTCATTAATTTATGTAACATTAATTTATGTGTCCGGCAAAGAACGCTTCAATGGCAGTGACCCCTATTTATAGCCCCATGCTGACTAGGACAGGTTTGAGATGTACCTGTGCTGACGAAGAAACGGACACGCCCTAGTGGTAACTCAAAGGCAACTCGAAGGACCCTTGTTCTTCTCTCTGAGAAGAGGCACAGGTTGTCTTTTTATTTTTTTGGTTAACACCAATGCTTTGTAAGGTGCCAGCTCCCCCGTTTTCAAGAATGTGCATGTTGCTGAAACCAGTTTGGCTCAGTGGCTAGAGCATCAGCCTGCGGACTGAAAGGTCCTAGGTTCGATTCAGGTCAAGGGCATGTACCTTGGTTGCAGGCACATCCCCAGTAGGGGTTGTGCAAGAGACAACTGATCGATGATTCTCTCTCGACGTTTCTAACTCTCTATCCCTCTTTCATCCTCTCTGTAAAAAATCAATATATTTTTTTTAAAGAATGTGCATGTCATTCTCTTCCCCTGGCAAAGCAGCACCTTCTTACGTGTACAGAATCCACCAAACCATTTGGGCCACCATCCTGAGACCTTGTGATTACTGGTGATGCGCCTTGGTCCAACTCCTCAGAGCAGAGAAAATTTATAAGAGAACTTCCCCTTTCATTTGTTTTCCTTCTAATTACGCTGGGAAGAGTGTGTACTCCTGGGGTTCTGGCTTATTCTTTATGGATCTGCTAAGCTCAGCAGTGACTAAGGGCAATAGATATTCAAATTTGTCTCGAGGAGGTAACGTAATAAATTGAGAGATGCAATGAGGCATCAGCATTAAATATGCAGAGAGTGCAAAATATTCTCATGAGAAGCACCTTACCATGCCCTTCTCGGCCGGTGCACAGCTCTCGGAACTGCCCAATCGGAATACTGCACCTCATTTAACACTTATTTACCTGGCTGCCGTACGCATTCAAACTGTTCAGATTCCGGAGGGTGAAAAAGTGGTGGCCTAAGACACATTTGTGTTAAGTCTGCAAGAAATTATCATTACCTTCAGGGAAACCCTATGCAGTTTGCATCAGAACTAAGGTCCCTTTCTGATGTGACAGCTGTAAGACACAGACTATAAGACGTAAGGGAAATTCACCCTGGATAAATTGCAAACAGAATATCGATTTAGTAAGAACTACTGAGCCTTTTAATTTTCATTTTCATTCCTAAGTGACCATTTTTTTTTCAAAATGCAATACAGAACAAGGCACCGTAGTAGCTGTGCCACTTTTCATCTGATGACAGGCCTGTGACTGATTCCTTTATTTAGATCAGGCTCTTATGTGCACTCCATCTCATCATGACATTAGCATCTCTGTTTACCTTGCACATCATCGCATTTAGGCCGTAATTACTCAAGTGAATCATGGGGACGAATGATGCTGTAGGAAGCTCTCAACAGCAGCCAGGCAGTTCCCTCCCGCGCGAGGTTAGGCTGGGCTGAGAGCTGAGTAGGCTCTGGGCTGGATTTGCATCTGGTGAGAGGTGGTGGCAGAGAAGCCAGCAGGCCTTCTCTTCCCACGGGGTATAGGGCCCTAAAACCCAATCGTTACCAACATCCACAAGCTATGTGACCTTGCCAGTTACTTAACTAATGGTTTGCTATTCATGGAACCCATATTCTCTTCTGGTGCTTACAGCCAAACTACATTTCCCAGCCATCCTTGCAGTTATGGCTAGCCAACTGGACATGAACAAAAGTGATACATGTTGTCTCCAGGGCTGCCTCCTATAAAAAATCCCTCATGTGAAAATCTACATATTCTTTCTCCCGCCAGCGTGATGCCTATGAGACTGCAGAGCCATGAGCTGGAAGGAGCCTGGGCTCCTCATTCTCTGCTGGAGGAGAGTCACCTGCTGATTAGCAACCTTTTGGGGACTTTATATAAGCAACAACATAGACTTTTATTATTTTTGAGAGAATATCTATTTTTTACATTTGCTTGTTATAGTATCTAACATTAATCACCTTAACAAGGAAAACTCTGAGCCTCAGGTTCCTCATCAATAAAATGGGTATAGTCACTGTAGCTATTTCCTATGGGGGCTTGGTGAGGACTAAATGAACTAATGATGCATGTGTGTTCAACATGCATGAAGAGTGATGTTGTAGATAGAATTCACCACCATCTGCCTATTTCTTCTTTGTAAAATAGGTACAATAAAACCTACCTTTCATGGCTTTGTAAGGATTAGAAATTATACACTTATATGTTGACAGGCACGCATCATAACACATGAAACCTGACACACTAATTAAACCTCAAGGACTCATTAAATAATAACTGCTTTTGTTATTACCTCTATAGAAATATAAACACAATTTGGAATATTTCTAAAATAAAGTTCCAATGGTTACAGTTTGAGACTCTAAAAACGTGTCCTAGATAAAAATTTACCATGAGGTGGCAGTGAATCAACTTTGATCCCTACGAACCCATGAATACATCTAAAAAAAAAAAAAGTATCATTTTTCTATTTATTTGGAAAGACAAAGCAGGGAGGTCTCTTCTGGAAAACGCAAGGATTGGTTTCTAAATCATGGGTTGGAGGCTGCATTTAGAGAAACGTCTGAGGTGTGAAAACAACGATCCTTATTAGGACATCCTGGAAGATGTGGAAGGTTCTCTATCCTCTGATCTGCAGGATTTGTGTTGTGAGAGAACAAGCACTAAACAGATGGGGAGATGTATTTATGGAGTTCCTCTTTATACTCTACAAAACGATGAGGGTAAAACCAATTACGTTATGGCTTTGATGTGTTTAGTAAAGTGAGGGGGGATGGGAAGAGAATGGAAAAAGCTGTTCCACTCAACAAGGCTAGGAAAGGGGAGAGAGAGATCGCGCTGGGGTCTGAGTAAGTATGAGCAATGGCAATGTGACTGTGCAAAATTTTCTATTGACACAAGCCCAAACAAAGCAAAGCGAGCCAAGTACCATCTGACTCTCAGTGAACAATCCTAGTGCTTACCTCATAACAGTGTACAGATCCAACAAAAACTTTTCCAATATCCAGCAGTTCGAAGTTGAAGTGAATCTTTGGTCCCATCCCTTGCCCTTTGATTCGGAGGGGCAGACGGATCTCTCGGCCTATATAGATAATGAAAACTTCATTACCCAAATGATGCTTGATTACCCACAACTCATTATCAATGTGAGCACCCAAGGTTATTGCACCAACCTCCTATGCTGGACTGGCAGACCTGCAATTTCACCAAGGCTGAAGATTTAGTTTACGTTTTAGAAACAGGAACACTGTTAGTTTCTTACCTTCAGGGACCAGCTTACATTGCAATTTAGATGGACATTTTAGCAGGGGGAAAAAAACAATTAAAAATTTAACCCCATCTTAATTGTATCCTTAATTTCTTTCTTTATTTTTTTTAATCCTCACCCAAGGATATGTTTTCGCTGATTTTTTTTTTTTAGAGAGGAGGAAAGGGAGAGAGAAATATTGATCTGAGGAACATGGATCAATTGCCTCCTGTATGCACCCCTACTTGAGATCAAACCAGCAACCTGGGTATGTGGCTTGAATGGGAATCGAACCTGTGACCTTTCAGTGCACCAGATGACGTTCCAACCAATGGAGCCACAAAAGCCAGGGCTATCCTTAAGTTTCTTATAAAGGAAAGTAATTTCTCTAAATAAGAGTGATCCCTGACTGATGCTCCCCATAAAGTGAGTCACCATGCAGCTCCGAGGACATTATCCACTTTGATCTTCCCTAAATTTAGGAAGAGCCAGTGTATTAGGAATCTGACCTTATTTGTAGTTGCTTTCATAGACAGGTAATGGAGTCCACTAAACAGTATCCCTTATTACACATCCACGACGGACCCAGGGTCCACACAGAGCACAAACCTTTAAAGTACTGATTTGTTTTGTTTTCTTTTTAAAAAAAAAAATGGAAAAATCCCCACTTGATAATACATGATCATATTATCAAAAAAGTAGGAATTCTGTCATAATTCCAGCACCCAAAGATAACTATCATTAGGCTTTTGGTGCCAACCATTCCACACTTAATCATATTTAAATACTGTTCATGTAAATGAGGGTCCCACCCTGAGGCCTGGGGGATTGCTAGGGCCCTTTCTCCTGGGGGATCCCATTAACTCCTTCGTGTTCTTCCCTAACTCAGCTTAACTTTTCAGCCTCTCTGCTGCATCTACCAGAAAGTCAGTGTTGCTAAGAATAAAGAGTCATTCCTTCCCCAAAATCTAACTGTCTTGGTTTCCCCATAATTCTTCCTTGTTCTAGCAGCTCTGTTTTACCTTTAAAATTGATTTTAGAAAATACTTCACCTTGCTCTTCTAGTTGTTCTTAGAGAGAGAGAGTATGTTGTTCATCCAAATTACTGAGCCCACCGATACTGGAAACAGAATGGTCAGGACAAAGAGATGTGTATTTGACATACTATCAGCGATGGGTTTATTGCCCTCCAGAATGACTGTACTAATTCACACACAAACAACAGTACTTAATGGTTCCCCGTCTCTCCACATCCTCCATCATGGGTATAGTACCTTTAAAAAAAAAAATCTTTGATAGTGTGACAGGTTTTCCTTAAATCTGCACCATTTAAATGCCAGTTATGTAAGGAAAATTATATCTTTGCTTTGTGTGTAATGTTTTGCATATTCAAAATATTTTTGATGCTCTTTTAGATATAATTGTCCGTATTACAGCAATACACTTCTGAACAGCCAAATGATATTTCTAATTTATTATCATCATTACAATGCCTTGTGACATTTGATGTTCCACTGCCTTCTGTGTCTCTTCACTGTTTTCTCTCCATGACTGTCCTTTTAAAGACAGGAATACTTATCTCTGTGTCCCTCTGGTGTTTGGCAATGCAGTGGTCATTAGGCAAGTGTTGCTTTGATTATAAGAAACAAAAGCGATTCTGGGACAGCTGATTTCTTCAAAGGGTTCCCCAATCCATCTGATCCCTGGAAAAGAGGTTTCTCTAAAGACCAGGTATATTACTGTTGGCAAAGTAAGTAAAATTTTCAGAGAGCCCTACTCCATTATTTTGGCATTTTAATCTATTGACAATGATTTGTACTCTTTGGTCAAGAGAAAAATAGTTTGACAGAGATCCAACTTTCAGAATGGCAAAGAAAGGGAATTGCAAATATATTGTGGAATAAACTGCAAGACTATTTATAATTGTCAGGCTTGAAGCTTTCCCCATCTGTTACCTTGACTGCCTTCCTAATACATATTTTTTTTAAAGGAGATGTGTTGCAATAAAGCACTGAGCCAATGTTTCTTTGAGAGTTATTAATTACTTCAAAGGAATCTGTCTTATGTGTAGCTAGCCCTTTCCCTTACCACAGGTGGAGTGGGAATATGAGTAATACCCAGCCTTGACTTAAAAGAATTAGCCTAAATTTTAGGGTTACATTTCAAATGCTACTTTTCCATAAGATCTTTGAAGCAGGGACTTTTCTTGTTTTGGCAAAAAGCAGCAAGAGGGAGAAACCTGAAGGAACTAGCAATATAAAAGGACAAATTCCTTATTAGAAAAGCAAAATGTTAAAATAGGGCATTTTCTCGCCTGTGATTACATTACCTTGTTTTCACACATAAGAAGGAGAGAAATGTGCTACTGAACCCCTTTAACAGCTCTGAAATTCCTGAATGCAACAGATTTACTGCATTAAGTACCAGGAAATGTAACCATGAGCTTTCAAAAACTTGCCATCTAAGATATCTTAGATGTCCACTATTATACTTGAGCTCTATTCCTGTGCAATAAGACAAGAAAAAAGGGGGGATATAAACAGGAAGAACAAACTGCCATTATTCACATATTTTAGGACTGTCTGCTGGAAAATCCTAACAAATCTAGAAATAATCTTTTAAAACTAATTAGAATAAAATTGATGGTTATGAAATCAATATACAAAAGTCAACTGCATTTCTATACCCAGCAACAATCAGAAAAATTAATTCTCAAGATACTATTGACAACAGCAACAAAAATATAAAGTACCGAGAAATAAATTTAACAAGATATAAGATCTTCAATGAGCAAAATATAAAACTTTATTGAAAAATATTAATAAAGACCTAAATAAATGGAGAACTAGACTATGTTATTGAAAGGGAAAACTAACTCAACAGCATAAAGTTGTTAAATTTTCTCCAACTGATCTATACCTACAACTTTAATGTTTTAATAAACAAAATGCCAGCAGGTAGAATTTGATGGGTTGATTTCAAAATTAAAAGGAAAACAAAGGGCCAATTAAAACCAAGACATTCTTGAAGAAGAGTAAATTGAAAGGACTTGGCCTTAATATCTTGAGAATTATTTTTTCTGATTGTTGCTAGGTATAGGAATGCAGTTGACTTTTGTATATTGATTTCATAACCAACAATTTTATTCTAATTAATTTTAAAAGATTATTTCTAGATTTGTTAGGATTTTCCAGCAGACAGTCCTAAAATATGTGAATAATGGCAGTTAGTTCTTCCTATTTATATCTCCTCTTTTTTCTTGTCTTATTTTCAATGAAGTTTCAATGAAGTTTTATATTTTGCTCATTGGACTTGGCCTTTCATAAATTAAAATCTATTATAAAGCTATTATAATTAAGATAATGTAGTATTGGGGCAGAAAATGCAAAGATGACTAAGGAAACAGAATACAGAAGAATAAATGCACATATAAATATAAACTTGATTTATGATGGAGCAGGCATTGAAAATCAAGTAAGAAAAGATGAACTATCCTATATAATAAAAGGGTAATATGCAAATAGACCAATGGCAGAACAACTGAACAACCAATCAAAGCATAATACACTAACGATATGTATGCTAAGGATGCTCAACAACTCACTATAATATGCACTGACCACCAGGGGGCAGATGCTTCAACAAGTAGGTTAGCTTACTACTGGGATCTGGCCCATCAGGACTGGGCAAGATCGGCCGGACATACAGTGCTCTCCTACAGTCCCTCCCCAGCTCTGATAGTGCACTGGTGGGGTCCCTTGGCCTGATCTGTGCCCTCTCACAATCTGGGACCCTTAGTGGGATGTTGGAGAGCCAGTTTTGGCCTATCCCCGCAGGCCAGGCCAAGGGACTCCTCTGGTGCATGAATCTATGCACCAGGCCTCTAGTACAGTAGAAAGAGTTAGAACAACTGGGCATTCACATGGGATCTGTGTACATGTGTATGTTCTTCTTTTTCCTTTTTTTGTTTTGTTTCTTTTATCTTCTTTTTAATAGTTAAAGCTTTTTAAATAACTTTTAACACATGGTAGGGCTAGTCTTCCCATATTATTCTTGTTTTTCTGAATTTTCTAGGCAACCCTCATTTATTTCCTCTATAAAAAGGTTGGTATCAACTAGTTACGATGCTGCTCTTCCTAACCAAAAACATAAGCATACATTTCTATTTGTTCAAGTTTTCTTAAATCTGGGTTCTGTATACATTTATTTATATATTTATATATTATTCCCTGTGTTTTTGTGTTTGAAATATTTTAAAACTGAAAAATATAATTTAGTGGATCAAGAAAATAACTTCTTATTCATATGACTAAGAAACCTTATATTATTAAGAGGTTGCAGTCTGATGAGTTTTGAGAAAGAAAAGCTATATATACATTAAATATTACTCAGTTATTACTCTGAAAACCCAAAACTGTTTTTAATGATTGGGGTTATTTGAGTTTTTGTTTCCTAAATCTAATTAAATCTCAATTCCTTAATTAGGATAAACATCAAAAGTCTTAAATTGTGCCAAAAACTTAGATATCTCTCTCTTATGATATTCAGAATAAAAAATGGACAATGAGGTTTCATCTTAATTGGATCTTTAAAGGAATCAGGTACATCTGGAACCATTTTTCTGAAGCACCCATTAGCGTTATCTAACAATACATTTCACAGTTTAAAATCAGAAAGTGTTGCTTCCTTTGAGGTTCCCATATGGTGATTCAAACCAAATACATGCTGTTTCCCTTTGAGTTTTTTAAAAAGGTAATCTTGGTGATTAAACTCAGAATTTCCACATTCCATTGGAAAGTCAAGACAGATGAAAGATCAGTTTCAAGACCTGGATCAAACCATCGGCAAGTCTTTATAAATATCTCACAGTTTTAACTACTTCTAAGAAAATCTGAAATCTTTACATGGAAAAAAAAAAAGTCAGCTTCAGATTAACTGAAAATATGTTAATGACGTTAAACTTGCCATAATCAGATCGTGGCAGGTCACTCCCCTGCTTTCCGGCCCCTAGGTGGTTCCCCACTCCCCCAGGATGAAGTCCAAGGCTCTGAGCCTGGCATTCAAGGACAGCCTTCCGTGAACTAGATCCCACCTCCTACTCCAGGGTCAAATCCCTGCCCCCATCACCCGCTCCCAAGTCTCTCTACCTCTCTCTGTCTCTCTATGTGGGTCTCTCTCTCTGGCAGCCACACCCTAAGAATTTAGGATTCTTTGCCATTTCGTGCTCTTGTTATGTCCATTTTTTCATTGTGTTTTTCTATGTATTTTCACTAAGTATATGCCTGCCTGACATGCCCAGCCATAGACACCCTTTATTTTCTTATATTAACAAATACTTTAAGGGTCACTTTCTCTGGGGGGCCTTCCTTGAAAACCCTAAGAATGAGCTGTGCGTCCTATACCATCCTCTGCCATTGTTCATTCATTCACTGTAGGGCACTGCAATATAACGGTTGGTTTGTGTGTCCGTTTCCCCTGCTCATGTCAATATTATCTGAAGGTAGGAACTATGCTTTTATACATCTTTGTACTCATTGAGCCTAGATATAAAAGCTTTAGAAAGAAACAAGTTTGCAGTTGGGGATTATGGATTAAATTTTGTGCACCCAGAGAGGTCTCCCTTGAGAACAGTCATGACCTTCCCTGCTACTTCCTGTCTCTGAACGTGCATTCGCAGAATGGCACACTATGCAACAATGACACTGAAATACAATTAGAGCTACAACCAACGCCATGGATAAGATGTGCATATTGATGTCAATGAGGTACATTTCAAATACAGGCTGTACTAAACTGCATTCTTTCAGAGTATATACATGAGGTAAAAATTATAAATTAAAGCAATGAATAATGATCATCAAAGACAGAAGAGTGATCATCTCAAGGGGAGGTTGGGGTGAGTGGAGTGTGACTGGGAAGGAACACCCCAGGGGTCTTCTCAAGGCTGGAAATATTTTATTATTGGTCTTGGTGGTGATTACATACTGGGTGGTGATTTACCTTATAATTATGTTATAATTTATATATGTGTATTAGTTCCCTATTGCTCTACAACAAATTACCACAAATCATGTAGCTTCACATACAAATTTATCTTAAAAGTGCTGGAAGTCATGTCTAATCATTGTGTTATACACCTGAAACTAATATAATATTGCATATAATATTGCATGTCAACTATCATGGAAACATCTTTTTTAAAGTTCTGAAAGTCAAAAGTCCAAGATGGGTCGCATTGTGCTAAAATCAAGGTGTTGACAGGGCTCCCTTCTGCTTAGAGGAAAGCCCATTTTCTTGCCTTTTCCAGGTTCTACAGGCTGTCTGAATTCCTTGCCCTTCCCATCTTCAAAGCCAGAAATGGCGGGAAGAATCTTTCTCATATCACATCACTCTGACACTAAAACTGACAGCTTCTGCCTCCTCTTCGATGTTTAAGGACCCTTGTGATTATACTGAGCCACCCACATTATCAGGATAATCTCCTACCTCAAGGTCAGCTCATTAGTAACCTAAATCCCATTGCATGCCTTAATTCCCCTTTGCCATATAATGTAACCTATCCACAGTACCATAACCACAGGTGCTGAGAGCACAGGCATATTTGGGGGGCCATTTCTCTGCCCACCACAGCATGTATTATATGTATTTCTGAATCTATGTTCTATTTCTTAATCACAAAAGATTAAAAATTAAATTATGGTATATAAATAAAAGGTATTCATATGCAATCATGAAAAAAATGGTACTTTTACATTTAATGTTACAGAATAATCTTTAAGAAATATTTTAAAAGCAATGTCAGAACCATCATGTAAAATACTAGTATGCTATCAGTTATGCATAAAGGTGTGAGGGGAAGCAAATATGTATGTATTTGCTTCTATCTCTCCAAGCATATAGGAAAACAGAAGCAAAGCAAAATAAAATAAAGCAAAGGTAGGAGCTTTGCAATATGCCTAGGCAGTATTTCTTAGTGACCTAAAACCAAAGGTTTTGATGAACCCTTTGAAGATAATGGTAAGGAATCATTACCAGCTCCTGAAAAGACATCCAGAATTGCATGGAATTTACAGAAAAGATACTATAGAATTACTATTAAACAAAACCCTTCCCTCTTATGTCTTTTTAAATACCACTAATAGCCCTGGCCAGTGTGGCTCGGTTGAGTATTGTCACATACTCCAAAAGGTCACCAGTTTGATTCCCCGTCTGGGCACATGCCCAGATTTCAGGCTCTATCTCCAGTAGGAGGTGTATAAGAGGCAGCCAATTGATGTTTCTCTCTCCCCGTCTTCCTTCTTTGTAAAAATATATTTTTACAAAAATATGTTTTTTGAAAAAACATATTTTACAAAATACCACTAATAAAACAAAGAAGAATACCATGCAGATGGAAAATTGTTCTATTCAGTTTACCTAGGATGTGACTTGTGGCAGAATTCAGAATTACAAATGGAACAATAGATAAATACAACTAATTACTCAATGTTTGGGAACCTTCTAGAGAGCAGCCAACCCCCGTGGAATATGACCAAGTACAAAACATCCCAGGGGAGCCATGGAGAGGAGGGAGGTCCCACCACCTGTGGCATGGGGGCCTCTGGAGCAGATCCAGCCTGTGTCTAAGCTGATGGACCAACGTTTCCTTCCAATCCATTAAGGAGCCTGGAATTGATGATGCTGGTCTGAAGTATAGAAGCAGACTATGGCAACACAGACACTCCTAGTCCATTTTGCATTTATCCTGAGAATCCCACGGTCATGGGCAAGGAAAGACCAGATCATACTAGGCTTCAATCATTCTATGTTGGCCATTTTGTTTTGTTCTTCAGTTTGGGTTAGTGTGATGTTTCCTCATAATCAATTAGACCCAAGGGAGGTATTTTGGCTGTCAAATCATTGAACAGATGCTGTGTTCCCATTGCATTCTAGCCGGTGGCCCAAGAAGTTATTTTCCCTGTTACTGCTAGTATTAACTAAGATAACATCCACTAGCTTTCTTCAGTAGAAAGTTAATTTCTTCTCCTTATAATTAGTAAGTATTTTGAAGGAGAATATTTTGAGGCTATGTAAGTTACTATTCCACATCCTACTTTCATCCATTAATTTTAAGATCCATTGATGTCTCTTACCTGAATTGGTTATTACTATATTTGCCAAGTGGTAAATCTTACTGAGTAGATTCACAGAGTCCTAATTATTCACTGGATTATAATCTATTTGTGTCATTATTTACAAGAATAAACTTGCATACTCAGAGCCATAAACCTACCTACCGCGGTATGTATTTCCATACCTCTGCATATAACAACTGTGTTCATAATAACAACTCCAATTCCATTCCAATACTAAAGAGACCATCTTAGTCCTCCTTCTTTCCATTTTATGCCTCCCTTTTCCAAGAGTAATACTGGCTCTTGGTATCCTCAATATATTTACTTTTTGCTTAATTCTTCAATCTATATATAGTTCACAGAAATCATCAGGTTGCCACTCTACTTACACACTCTCCTTGTGGCCCTGGCCACTGCCAGACTACCTTGCCATCCCACCTGCCATACATTATTTTATAAAAATTTAAAAAGAAAAAAAAGTAGTCAAATACTACAAAAATAACAACAACAAAAAAACTATTTGTGAGAATCTGTCTCAAGGAATGTTCTTACTGCTCTAAAAATTAGATCCATGATTTCCCATACCACCCCTCCCCATCACACTGCAATTCTAGTATAACGTCAGACAATGGTCTACTCTAGAAAGAATTGAATAAGTGCATAGCTTACTTCCATTATTTCCGTTGATATCGTCCACTGCCCATAGCACTCGTGCTCATGCTCTCTCTCTCTCTCTCATTCTCTCTTTCTCTCTCTCTCTCTCTCTCTCTCTCTCTCTCTCTCTCTCTCTCTCTCACACACACACACACACACACACACACACACTCAGAGGCATCCTACTGCAGGCTCTGGGCACTTGGCAGCCTGCCTTAACACACAGAAGTCTTCACCTGAAATGTCACAGTACACAGTCATCTGGTAGAGCCTGGCTTCCAGAGGGTTGAAGTACACAGTGACTTCAGCTGATGAGTTGGGCCAGACATCACCTTCCTGAAAAGCAGGAAAGAATCGTTAAAAAACAATATGATGAAGGGAAGGTGGTGCTGCTTTTAAATATTATTATGCTAAAACTCTACGGAGTAGGAAGGAAATATGTTTACAATAAATAGAAGAAAGCAATATTTTACCCAACAGACAGTTAACTCAGGCTACTTGTTAAGAGGTGGTACAAGTTGGAAACAAGCTTTAAAAATAATTTCAGTGAGTTTATGAATATATAATAAGCTTAAGTAAACTTATTATATACCAATGTGCGCCCAGCACTGGGCTTCCGAGATGAAGGGTGTGGCCCAGGGCTGCATGGAGCTCACATGTAGGACGGATGATGAATATGCATACAAATATTCTATAATATGCATGCTAAGTGCTATGCCTGTATAAATAAAGTCCAGATGGGCCAGAGAAAAAGAAGTGCCTAACTCACTTGATAGAGGGACCACATTCCTAAATTTTGAGTGACAACATAAGGAAATACTCTTATTCTGGGAAAACACAGCAATGGCCCAAGGAACAGCAAAAGCCAGAGCAAACCCTGGTTCTGCTCCAGTGTGACAGTCCCCATTTTAATTCAAACCACTCAAAGTGATAATGAGGAGACCAAGTTTTGAAATTTTGTAATGCACATACCATACATCAGAATTCCCTGGAGAATGTTTAAGAGGTAATCTTTGAAAAGTGTTTTGTACCAACCATGTAATCTGGGACCAGTTCATTAACTTCTTAGGGCTATAAAAGTGGATGCTAATATCACCTGCCTCAAATAGTTTCCTAAAATCAGACAAGGTCATACAGGCCCAAAGCTTTGCCCCATGCTCAGTACATAGTTGTTTAAAGTACAATTGATGTTATTTTTATGGCCACTTGGAGAGACTACCAGCAAGATGAAAGTATTGGTAAAATGAGGGTAGAAAAGTGAGGTTTTTTTTTCTAAGGTTTTTGTAAAGAGAGCCAAGTAGGGCATATGTGATAAACACATCTGAAAATCTGTGGAGGTGGTGGAGTCTAAAAAGGAACGGAGGGAAGACAACATGATAAATAATTAGGCTCCCGTTTCAGACAGTCCCCGATGCACATTCCATTTCCAGCCTGATTAGAAATGAGCACAGTGCTGGAATAAAGAATCAAGCAGAGAACAAAACAGTCCAAGGGGCAGATGCCCTATGGAGTGATAGACAACGAGAGCCAATTTGGGTTTATTTATGAAGGTAGCAGTTGGATCAATGTGCTTCTCGGGCAGCATCCCCGGAATGCTAAAAGGGCACAGAGCCCACAAAAAGAAGCAGTGAGGGCTGCGTGTCACGGGGTCCTGGGAGCTCTGGTCTCCCAGGTCAGGTCTCTGGAATGTAGGCCCCATGAGGGTGGGCCCTGTTCTATGCCAGGACCTAATCCAGAAGTGGCTCATAGAAGAGTTCCACATAGTTCCTCAGTCAGCCGTAGCCATTCACTTTGCACAAGGTATAGTTATTAGCAGATGTCTGTTCATCTCTGCAGCCTATTTCTGCCATTTTTCTCCTCAACTGAATCACAGAAGTCATACCATGTAGAGCTGCAGGGAACAGGAAATCCCTCAGCACTTTCACCGATTTAGGCATTTCACTGTGGCACTTTTCCAAACCTGATAAGTGGCAAATACCCCTATGATTACTGGGGGTCTTATTGATATGAACACTCATGAACAGAAAGGACCGAGAGACTGGGCAGAAGAGGCGGTTCGTCCATTCACTGGTGTATCAGCGGGTATCCCACTTCAGAACTCCTGAAGACCCGGTTTCCTCCTAACCCCTGAGACAAACGCACTGCCTGGTGGGCTTGGACACGACTCTGATTGAGAGTATAGACTGGACGCAGCTAAGCTGTTCCTGTGCAAGCTGGAGGACCCTAAAAAATTGCTAGAAAAGTCTCATCAGAATTGTAGGAAATGATACAGTTGATGTCAGGTAAGTTTAGTGCACGCAGGCAAATTCGAGGGCTTTATGACTTGCGCTGAGCCAGATCACTTTCAAAAAGCATTATCCCAGGAAGAGAAAGAGAATCCATGGTCCATGTGCAGACAAGAGAGCTGCAGTCTTAAGCTCTCTCCCGGCAGCACTCCTGGAGACCCCATCATGAAAGAAATCTGAGGATTAAACCTGGGGTGGAGGGAGGGCAGAGCTGGAAAATGGCAGGACAGATGTGCTCCAGAGAGGCACGCAGAATCCCCCCAGGGGAGGAAGTGTTGACAAACAGATGCGATCTGATCCGTGAGTGATGGGCTGAGGTGGACGCACCCTGGAGGCTGGGAAGCCCTTCTGCTTGGAGGCACCCTGGATGCCGGTGCCAGAGCATCAGAGTCCTCAGGGTTCAGACTGAGCGGGTGGGGCTGTGGGACTGTAGGCTCAGTGTTTTTCCTATCCTGGGTCGCAGCTGTTTCATCGTGCCTGTGACATTTGCTCTAACTTTCCGCTTTACTCAGCCCCGGGAGATAATTCAAGGACAATCCTGTTCTAGAGGCCTCTCCTGGGCTTGTGTTAATGCGTGCTAAGAGGGCTGTGTGTGTCTGCGGAAACACAAGTGTGGCCATTCCGTTTCCTCTTGCAGAGGGACGCTTTCAATAACAGGTCATTTGAAGGAGTGAGAAACATGTATTTTTCTATTGGGATTAGAGGAAAAACTAAATAACATCTCCTTTTTTTATATAGCAAAAACTCAATATAGCATTTTCTATAGCAAACCAGAGAGAGCAAACCCCAGAAACGGGTGGTCAGCCTACGACGGCCCCACTTTCACTTATATATCTTTGAACCACTTCATATTGCTTCTCCAATACTTCTGAAATTAACTCCCCTGTCATTTATGTCTCTGAAAAGAATTTTTCTTTCTTTATTGCTCAGTTCTCAAGTTCCTTTCTGAAAATGAAAACATCCAGACATTTCCCTCCTGGCTCTGACGTCAATATCCTGTCCGTCCAGGCTGAGGAAACAGCCCCACCACACAGATCCCCCTGCAGGTCTTCCTTCCTTCCACATACGCCCCATCTCCCATCACCATCCCTTTTCTGGCTCCAAATCAGAGAGTGAGGATGCAGGATGTAACTGGTAAGTGACTACTACTTTGTTTATTGAAAATGACTGCCAAAATGGCCTTCAGTTATATTGTGATTATCTTCTTTCTTGGTCTTAATGTTTTGTTTTCCCCTCAGCTTCATAACTACATTTCATGTATTGAAAGGTTAAGAGGCTAATTCCAATGTAACCCTGATTTTTTTTTAGGGGGGGAGGAGAGAGGGAGGGAGGCTAGCAATCTGAATCTGTGCCAGTAAGCCCAGTGTACGTTCTTGATAACCTATAATTAAGTCATTGCCCCTTTCTCCACAAACTGGTCTTGCAAGACCTGTTACCTAAATGCTCACATTTTACAGAGGCCATAAGCCATGACACGGCCCCGGTCCTGGAGGGGGGTTGTCAGCGCTGGCGCCAGGCACAAAGCCCATTAAAGGTCCGGAAGTGTAATCCATATTTGGGGAGACAAAGACACCAAAGGGGATAAAGGAGGGGCTTCCACCATATTGGTTTGCTCAGAATTTGAGAGGCAACCTCCTCCGAGTCCGCCGGCGTAATAAAGCTTGTAACTGCACTTCTCTAAGCATTGCTTGGTTTTTCTCCGATCTTCTACAACAGTATTAAGTGACCTGCTAGAAGGAATCAACTGAATTTTCAGGTCTAACGCTAACTCCCACAATGCAGGTTTTGGCCGAATATTAAATACCCCTGGAAATGGAACTTCATATTTCCTCTGGAACAAGGGCAAACAAGTGGCGTGATGGACACAGTCCCAAGACTTTCTAAAAGCTGTTTCTGAACAGACTGCCCCTGGTTCATGACACGTGATTAATACAGTCATGAGAAGGGAGGTGGAAGAGGGCATAGGGGGGATAAATGGTGATGGGAAAAATAAAATAAAAATTTTTTTTAAATAATTCCCCTTAAAAATTATACTAGTAATGATTAAAGGAGCTCTTTTAAAAATCTCCCTTGAAAATCCTTAAGTAAAAACAATATTTTAAAAGTCACCTTCTTTCCTCTTCTCTATTACTCAGCTCCTCCCTTCCTTCCTTCAATAAACGGTTATTTCTTACATATTTTACAAAATCAAAACCCAAACTGCAGGAACATTTAAGTTACTTGGTTTACCTGGAAAGTAGTTTACAATATGACTCGATACCTACATTTATCATTTACTAAATAGTTCATTTTAATTCCCAATTTACACATAGAAGAGTGATCCAAATGTCTGCCTACTCAAATGTTATGTTTTTCAATCATACCTCTAATCTGACAAGAGACCGAATCATATCTAAATCCAAATCATAATACGTTCAGCCATTAATTGAGAGCTCATGTTCCCCACACAGTGTTAGGTGCCGTTATTTATTATCTAGCTCAGTCTTTATAACCTTGTGGAATAGTATTATCCCCATTTTAAAGATGAGGAAGCCAAGCCACAAAGAAGTTAAACATCTCACCAAAGTAAGTGGCAGTACTGGGTTTCTATAATATTCTTTCTTTAACATCTTCATCCCAACTGCAATTATAACAAAAGGTCAGGCCTCACCTTTCTCACATCATAAAAATAAAAATAAAAATGCTGGAAATTTTTAAAAACACGACAACTGATCATCAGACTTAGAAGAAGCCAGCATGAACTGGCGCTCTTGTCTGGCGATCACAATAGCACACCCGGCATGCTCATGCGCTCAGGTATCTTGGAAGGTGACTCACAGGAGGTCCTTGTGGATGACAGTCAACCCTAGTGTTTTGCAGCTCTTTGAGAAATGCCTTGGCAGATCTTTATCAAGCCATCTGGCCAGGCCAGGGTTCAGTCGGCTCAGAACAGGGTCAGTGAATAATGACTTCAAGAGCAGCTAAAACTTAATAAATTGTAATAAATTCCATCACGTTACACCAAAATGGATATATTCTTAAACATGTAAATAAATATTTTCAGCTATCTTG